TATATATATATATATATATAGCCTTTTATGTTAAAAACATTTTCTGTGCATGTGCGCAGTTGCATTCCTTAGTATTGAGTAATATGCTATTGCGTTAATAATGTCTTCAATCCATTCTAAAGGAATATACATGTGTTCTCTAGTTTTTGCAACAGTTAATATTTTTGCATGAACTTGGTGCATGGCATCATCTCAGTGGTCCCTCAGTGCAGGGCTGTACATTGTTCATTATTGTGACTCCTCCCTCTGCTTGCACTTAGTTGGACTCCTCCTTTCAAACCACGTTCAAACTGTCATCATGTGGAAGCCTTAGAATTGGCTCAGTCCAATATTTGGTAAAGAGGGCAGAAATAGATTAGGGTTGTGTTGAGGAAAAATGCTTGTCATCTTGAAAGACTAGCCGTCGGAGTCACTAAGCCTCCCTACAATAATTCCTTCCAACTTCAAAGTGCTCCTTCTTATTGTCCTCTCATCAGACTCCAGCCTCGCTCCAACCCTGACATCAGCAGTGGATTCATAAACGGCCCCTGCTTCAGAAAGCAAACCAAGCATACCATAATTATGAGCCCTTAGAGAGCGAACCGTATGCTATGACAGAAGTAGTACACAATTACACTACTGTGTAATCTTTTTTGACATCCAACTTTGTGTGGTTATTAAAAATATAATTAAGTAGAAATAATGTCTGATGAAGGGATATTTGTTAAAATGTTGAAAACCCATTTGAGGCTTCTCTCTTTAAATGTCTCCTCTTACATGATTTCTATTTATGCTTGTAATGAGTGATGGTATTTAGTTGATACAACAGAGTGAACGCCCCATCATCTACTAAAGTACAGAGCCAACACAGATGACTACTTGAGAACAAGACTTACAGTATACCAAGACTTTACATTCATCATCTCTGGCTGTGAAGCCAAACTAAAACAAACGCATATTGATGGGTGATTATTGCGTTCTTGTGACTGACATATTTTTCCATAATAAAGTATTCAACGTCTAACATAATGTTTGAAATGAATGCATGTAGATAATTGATATCATGTGAGATGACACACTTACTGAGTTAAATCAACTTTGAATTAGAGTTATAATCTGAGAGCCTCTGCTCTTTGTCCATTTGACATATTACTTCCTGTGATATTATCACAACGTTGACATGTCCCAATATCCAGGACTGACAATTTGTGATATTTAAATCTCACTCACACACACACTAGGATTTCTTTCAAGATGCATATGAATCCCATTAATATTTAAAAGCTAGTCTAAACACACCTACATTCCCTGACGAGTAACAAAAATAGACACTGGGCACTTTGCAGATGGGGGGTGGCTGGTATGAGGGCATACCACTATTTGCCCAATCTTGGTGTAAAACATAATATCAATTTTTTTCCAGACAAAGCAAAGTGATGAAAAGTGGGATACTAATGTACTGACATCATTTCTGAGTGGAGTGAGGAGTAGCCTAAAGCTGTGCTTAACAGATTGAAAGCCCGAGCTGAGGAAGAATATGAACTATGATTCTAAAATCCCTCTCTCTCTCTCCCTCTCCCTCACAAACACATTCACACAAACAATCCTTTCCTTTTGTAAGCAATTATTGCTTCTTCTGAAATACAGTTCAGACAGTAAATCATGACAAATAAAGACGAAACGCTAAAGAAAGGAGTGAAACAAGATACAGGCTTCAGGAAGGGTCAGGCTCACAGTTGCGGGTCAGTATTACAGTTTCTCATCACAGTGATTGGTGACTGACTGTCTTTGCTACACTTCAAACAATTTCCAAGGAGACAAACATCAAAGCTCAACACGTCCTCGACCCTCGGCATGACACTTTCCTTTCTCCAGCTGACTCTTCATCTTTTACCCAGTCATACCAGTGCTACATTATTACCAGCATTTCAGTTACTGCACTCTCATCAAGTGACATCTTCTGGTGGTGGTGAGACGGTCTATAACTGCACCTTATGTGGGGTGGTGTCATATACTGCACTATGAGGTCAAACAGACACTGCTACGAGCTGACGGTGGGATCCTGCCCCCTGCTGGAGGTGGACAGGACTGCTACATCTACTCAGAGGCTGACTGGAGGAGTGAGGAGAGGGTGAGACGCAGGAGGTAGGGCGATAACGGCAAGATTGAAGGTGAGGGCATTGGGTTTTTGGCTCAGACAGACATCTGATTAACAGAAACCTCACAAGGACATACGGCACACTGGGGACAAGAAAATGCAGAGGAGTGGGATGGTAGAGTAGGTTAATCTCTCTTGATAATGTGTCACTCATGTATCTCTTTGTCACCCCCACCACAAGGCAAACCACTCTGAGGGAAGGTCAGGGAGGCAGGTTCACTGCAGAAACCTCCCTCCCAAAGCTCAAAAACCCACAGTACAGTAAATTACTTACACTATGTCTTCCCTCTACAGTTTGACGTGGCAAAAGCAAAAGGCGGAAAGCACATGAAAAGCACAAAGAAACAAACAACCTGACGCACAAAAATCTGACATTTAAAAACAGGCAGAGCGACACAACAATTGCATGTTCTACCCACAAAGATCTCAAGATATATAGAATAATATATAGGTTCAGATCGAACCAACCAAACAAGAAAAACAAGGGGGAATTTCTTATGTACCTGAAACAGCAGCATCAGTGGCATGGCATAGGGATCTTATAACATAAACAACACACGTAACACACAGTCACGTGGAGCATTTTAGTGCATACGATATTATGTACAACACTGATATCCTTGGGGATAATTGTAGCTTTACTGGACTTTGAGAACACTGGGACAGGTTTAAAACTAGTTTGTGATGCTCTTAGCTGGAAGAGTGTGGCAGGGAGGAAAGGAGTAACCTGTTGCCTAGAGATTATGTAATCCTCAGTATTTTATTCTCCCCTTTTTCTTAAGTTTGACTGATAAACTTTTCCCTGTTTGTTTGGAAAACAGGCCAGTACCTTACATTGCATGCCTGTCCCATACAGCAGTGTGTCCTCCCCATCCCTCCCCACCCTTATATTCCCTCAGTTTTCGTAGATAAAGACAGGCCATGCGGCAGCAGTCACTCATGCTGATACATATAACAGGAAGCACGTTTTGGTTGCTAGTTTTTTGTTTGTTTGTGTTTTTGTTTTATATGAAATCATGCTTCTAGCGTAGTAGTAGATGTTTTTTTTCCAACGGTGTCTTTCAAAAAAAAAAAAAAAAAAAAAGGTAATAAAAACTACAAGTGAATCCATATCCTTCTCTTCCGGTGCGTGCTGATAGTAGGCATGGTTGTCATGGCGTTGCCGTTCATTTCTGTCTGTCTGCTTTTTTTTTTGTGTTCCTCCTCCTGTCAAATGCTGCTGGTCATGTGTCCATGTAGGATGGTTTCGGTGAAGGGGTTGAATCCTCTGGAGAACTCTGTGGAGAGACGGAAACACGCTGATTCAGCCACAACTCATCAGCAATCTGCAGAGCAGGTGACATGCAAGTGGCAGTAAGTCAATGCAAATATGATTATGTGCCATCTTTCCCTACAATTGAAGCTCATGTATCACCTAAATTCCTTTCTTATTCTGATCAGTCTTTGCAACACTCAAACACTAAAACAGCACATTAGTTCTGCAGAAGCATTCAAGCAAAAATGGTTGGCAAAAGTGGTTCAAAATTCAGTAGTGAGTCGCTTGAAATATCAGTAATCTCAGGAATGTCAAGGCCTTTACGTTAGAAAGGGCAAGTCACACGTGCACACTCGCATATACACACACAAACACACACTGCAGTGGCTCCAGATATCAATACCCAGGACAACTGGCCTTACAGCTTTGACCCTGAGAGCTGTCACTTTACAAGATCCTTTTTAGTTGGTTGTTTTGCTGAGTGCACACTGTGCCAACCCTTTTCCAGCTAGTCACAACATGCATAAAGAAATGAATTGACTTGACTTAACTTTAAGCAAAACAATAATGAACTATTTGCATTGAACTAGCGTTGTTCGCATGTATGGCATTATATTTAGTGCACAGAAACATAATTTTAAGGAATGATTTAATTTAAGCAAACAAAAATGTATTCTGTGCCCAAATGCATTTAGTTGCATGTTTGCTATTACTCACACAATATAACTCCATACATCTGAAGTTAACATGACAAAGCATTTTGCAGAAGGCGAGCCATTTCTATTGTTAAGATTGTAAAACTGGAAGAAAGATATTTGAAAAGAAAAGGACTGGTATCGCCTCTGCATTAATGCTGACTGAAACTCTGTATATCAAAATCAATTCTATATTAGACAGATTTAACAGATTTTGCCATCGAATGTCCCCATTTTTTGAGACTTTTATTGTATTGTTTTATTAAATGACTGAATCTTAACCATTTGTTAAACTGAAGTTTCAGTTTTCTGTGGCAGCATCACATTACATGTCATTAGTATTGAATTAAAGGTACATCATGCATTTAATCCAGAGAGACTGGATTAAATGGTCTAGCCCACAGGTCAGACGAGGCGCTGTGGGTCAGTCCCGTACCTGCAGGGACGCAGCACTCAGTCTGCCTCACTGCTTAACTCTCCGTAGACTGGCACATTTCACTATCTGAGCACCTTTCTTCACATCCACAGTATCGGGCTACATCAGGGGGGAAGGGGTTGGCAGCAGAAGAGGTGCAAGGATTGAGAAGAGGTGGGAAAACAGGAGCCGAACAAGAGGTTGAGGGAACATTAGTAAGGGAGGGTGAAACAAACGAGACGGGGCAGGAAGAAAAAGATGAGGAAGGGAAACAGAAATGGATCAACAGAGAAAGGAAATAGTGCCACAAGAAAAGAAAGGACAGAAAAACAGGAAAGACAACAGATATGAGATGAAATGTGAGAAACAAATAAGTGAAGGGAGAGGAAAGAGGGGGGGAGAAAGAAATTATGCATAAACAGTCAAGCAAGGACAGAAAAGATGGGTGGCAGTTGGAAAGACAGTTGAAGATAAGAGGGCATCAGAAGCATCGACAGTCTTTGGGATTCAGAGTAGACCTAGGTCAGATCATATTTAAAAATATATTTTTGATTTCCTGATATTCAGATGGATGGGATTTGACCACATAAGACAATACTCAAAGTGACACCCTAATATTCTGAAGTGTCCCAATGTGTTAAACCCCAATCCTCTGCTACTTCCTGCAGGTAAAGTAAACAAAAGGTAAAAGATAGTGAATAATATTTGACCCAGCTCTGATTCAGAGTCTTGCAGGTTTGAGTGATACAGAACACAGTCACAGTTGAAGGACTATCAACTTTAATGAAGGCAGAAAAGACAAGAGTCAGCCATTGAGATAATTGATAGGGACAGAATGAAAATATAGCCACACACAAGGAGCCACAATCAATTCATTCAGTCATTAATATGCAAGAAACAAATGATGATAAGTTTGGTTTGCTGCTTAGTGATGACTAAAATGATGAGACCCTGAATAGGCCGGTGAACTGTGAGCAATAACAGCACCAGAGCAAAGTGGACTCATTTGTTCCTCCTGCATGCAGAAGAATAATATTCAGGTGGAGATTAATGTGACAGAAGATCAGTAATCAACCAATTTAACTAACCAAACTTTGCACTCAATCCTCGCTAGTGATTTAGGACTGACACAATAAAACAGGGCTATTGCTTCTAAGATAATGAGGACACACACACACAAAATGTGTCCTCAGCCTGTCGTACTGAAGCTGCTGCAGGTTTAGCTACTCAAAGACTGCCGGGAAATGCCCGGGAAAGCCATGATGATATGTCATTTTAAAGCTCACTGCAGCACAGAGTCCCTTGTTCACTATGAACTAGCTGCTACATGTATTTCAATCAAACAGGCCCTGATCAGATGTTCAGCTGTCTGCAGATCAGAAGCCCACCTTGCTGCTGTCCCGGCCCAGGATGGCGTAGCTCATGAACTGCTCAGCATCAACCTCCAGCTCGTTGGCATCCTGCAGAGAACCCTCCAGGCTCACCTCCTGAACACCTTCCTCACCTGAACCCTTCCCTCTGCGCACAACCTTACGCACAATCTATCACGTACACACATGTACAAAAGAGGGTGGGAGAGAGTAATGGATGGAGGCAGAGAGTGGGAATAAGGCAGTAAAAAGACAGAGTTGGTGAAATATAAAAGAACTGATATAAAAAAATATCTATTTTTTGGGGACATTCAGTGTATCCATAGCGTAATGTCATATGTGAATAACTTTATAATGATTATTAGTTTAATAATAATTCTGTGGAGAGATGGTGAATGAGTATTATAACACTGTCATAAGTGAAAACAATCACAGGACCCCAGTTTAAGAATACAGATTAAAAACACCTTTCAGTGGCTGACCTTTTTTGTGACGATGTTTCCATGTTCATCGGTAAACTGTTCCTCGCTTACATGCTCCCCAGGAACATCTTCAACTTCATCGCCCTGCGGACAGAAAACAAGATATGATTTCCTAAAGTTTAAAAAGTTAAGTAAACTCAAGAGTAAACGATTGCCCTAATGCATGTTGAAATACAGTCACTGCAGTGTAATTTACTTGGACACCATAAACCCCCTCCACTTATTGGAAAGACAGAGATGCAGATGAACAACAGATGGGTGAGGGGTTAGAGGGGTTAGCGTGTTGTTTGCGGAAGCATGTGCATCCGTTGGGATTCTCTGAGTTTCTTAGCGACATTTGTAATTACTGTTGATGAGGGTCATGACAATGCTGTTATAGCTCCTAATTATTTGCAGCGTTTCACAGAGCTATTTATAAGCTCAAAGACAGCCGGAATGCGTGGACAAGGGCCAGTCCAGCCCGTGTAGACCTGAATAAAACTTGTCAACACACGTGTTAGCATTGACAGAGTCTGAGATCCAGGAGGAAGAGTCCATAAGGCTTTTCAATAGAATTAAAGTCCAAACCTGTTGACCCAAGACAACCTATTTACATCCATATCAGCAGAAGATAAATTTAGCCACATTTTCACAGCAATTTGATGATAATTTTAACTAAATTATTATTTCTGTATCGATTCAAATCAGTTTTTGTCATCGTTATACACATTGTCCTAAGTCAATCCTCACTGCCACTTTTCTCACACAACCCTGTCAAATCATTTACCCATATCAACACAAACCTATATCACTCCAAACATACCGCTTCCTTCACCCTTTAACCAAACAGTATTTTCTCCATCTCTTTCCTGCCTGTTAATCCTGTCTTCAAATTTCTGCTCGACGGTCCTCTGTCCCTCTCTCTGTACCTTGAGGATGACTCTGCGGCGGACCACTCTGGTGGTGACGTTCTCTTCTTCATCAGCCAGTCCCTCGACCTCACCGAGCTCACGGTCCAGCTGAGCGTGTATGTAGGTGAGCACGGACCGCACGGAGCCGCTGGCTATGTGGAGGACATTCTGACAGCTGATGACCAGGAAGGCCAGCAGCACGAAGCTGAAGAGGAGTTCTGTCACCAGGGCCCACATCAACCCAGCAAATTAACACAGCACCACACGATAATACACTCCCTCAGCGTTCGGTGGCTCCTGTTTCCAATGCAGCGTCTCTCTCAGCTGACGGACAAAGGCAACAGCTGCAGCCTGCGGCCTTCTGTCACTGGTACAGTTTGCAGTTTGTTTCTTTGTCTTTCAGTTCATGTCCGTGGGCAGTGGGCCCTTTCCTCTGGTCTTTATTCCTTCTCCTTCCCACAGTCAGATCAGGAGTACCCACTCAATGACATCAATTCTAAGCAAAAGCAACCTTGGGAGGCTTCTATTCCCACCTCTCTCTCTTTCTGACCATGTGATCTGAGGGCTTTAAATACCTATGGCTTCTCCACTGTGGCTCTCTACGCTGTGGTAAGACCTCTAAGAAACCTGTCCTCTGACTTCCTTCATTGATTTGCAAACTATTTTCACATCCACAAAGTCGAGTCGAAATATTACAGCAACAATTATCTCTATGCAGACACAATTATGCAGCACTGTAACACACTAAAGGGCTAAAGTGTGACTGAGCCAAACAAAAGGGCTCTTTTCTCACCAGCGTAAACCACATACTAAATCAAGCTCGATCAAAGGCTCTAAAAGCTATTTCTGCTCCCTTACAGTTTCACGGCTGAGATTGTCCTGTACAGTGTGGTGTGGTGGCGTTGTGCCAGAAAGTTAACACGTAGAAATGATTGAGGTGGGGGGGAGGGGCATGTAACATGAGCGGGACAGTGAGAATGTTTGCTATATCTGGCCGGACTGTTTGTGCCCATCTTGGGCCCTAGACTCTGTGTGCGCGTGTGTGTGTGCGCGTGTGTGTGTGTGTGTGTGTGTGTGTGAATGTTTGCCATACATTTCTAGGACCTATCATTAATTAATAATCTAAAGTTGAAATAAATTTGTTGGCTTTGCATCACAACAGTTAAAGCCTAAGCAACATTCATCATTATACAAAGTGTAATATCTGTACAACTAATTCATTGTCATAAAGGATAAACATCCCTCTTATTTTGCATGGAAGCAGCGACACACTCACCTGGCCCTTCAGCCGCACATCGTCCCAGGCCCTCAGCTCTGGTACCCTGTGCGGGAAGCCCAAACCCTTCTCAAATGGCTGGGTACCTCTGAAGTGCCCCCGTAAGATCTCTGAGTGCCCCATGTCCCTCACAGGCTGAAGCAGGGCCTCCTGGGACACTCGTAACTGGTCTCCATCCACAGCGTTACATACGGATGATATCATGGTGTCCATGGCCTGCCTGGGTTTAGCCTGACTGCCCACCCAGGCCTGCGTAGGATCAGTAACAGGGATCCACCCTGGGCCTGTCTGCTCCTGCAGGTAGGAAAGGAAAGAGCCTCCACCACCTCCGTTTCCACCATTTCCTGACCTGGAAGGGGAGAACGGATCAATGCGGTGGTGGTACACTGTACATGCTTCTCTCCAAGGAAAGTTAAACAACTCATCATTCCCCTTAAGGGTCACTTCCTCCCTAAGAAAACATAACTCCAGTTCACCAGTGACATCCACTGACATGCAATAAAGATTAAGGAGATGTTAAAACGGATCTATTGTTTTGTTGGTGTGATTGTGACTTGTCACCTGAGAGGCAGACAGAGGTCTGACTCACCTGTCTCCATTCCGGTCTGCAACACAGCTCAGACCAGGTGACTCACTCAGCCGAGCATACACCCTTTGCTGTCCTGCAACAAGAGAAAGCCCTTCCTCTGAGCCCGTCCCTCCTCCTCCTCTTCCTCCTCCTCCAGCTCCATCTCCACCAGTCGTACTGATGACTGCTGATACCTCCGAACTTGCACATGACCTCTGACAATTGTTCAGCCTGTTAAGATTGATCCCAGCGATGGTGCCCCCAAGCGAGGCTGGCGTGGCAGTGCTGAGTGAGTCAACGCCCATCTCTGAATCGTCTTCGGGAAGCTCAATGGAGCCACTCAGCACCCCACCCCCTCCGCTGGCTGCGCTGGCCTGACTAGCCGGCCGACCCAGACTTCCATACGGCAGCCCCAGAAGACCTTCTGAATCGTCAGCATTGCTGCACTCAAGCGAGGAGTCCTCCACAGGTACCAGGGATGGGCTGTTGCCTGAGGGCCACACCTGCACATCAGACATCTCCATGAGGGTGTCTTCTTCTGTGGTGGCAATGGGTGCACAGTCCAGACTGGAGACTTCCTGCCAGTAAGGCTCAGCGCCCAGCGGGGAGGGCAGGCTGTACTGCATGGAGGCCGGTGAGAGAAGCTCTTCCTGCGCGAGCCCATAACCTGGAGCGAGACAGAGAGAGGCACACTGACACCCGGCCCCCCGCCTCGCTCCCCACCTCACCCCCACAGCACCGGGACCCCGGGAGGGGGTAAGTGCCCCTGCCCAGGAGCTGGGCATCAAGCGGGGGGCAAGGGGGGGAGTAGAGGAGGCTGAAGGAACAAATGGGGAAGGAGTGGGGAAGGAGAGAGGGGGGGGGCAAGACAATAGGAGCTAGAATAAAGGTGCAAGGAGCTTAAGACAAGAGAGCAAGGGCAGCTTTAAGAAGAGGGTTTGTCAAGCTCGATCAGCCAGCGCTGACTGTGAGAGCAGCAGCAGCAGCAGCAGACACAGCCGGACGGACTGAGAGACTGACACTTTGGTTTGGACCCAGCAGTGACTGATGCTGCTCTGCCGGCTGCCACCTGCAGGGAGATGGACAGGAATTACTGCCTCTGCCCCCAACCTTGGGCTGGGACACACACCTGTCCAGCAGGGACAGACACTTAGTCACATATACACATGCCATAAACACACTCGCTCACTCTCCGTCTCATACCATCACACGTAAACACTCACACTCAGATATGCATGCATTCAAACCCACTCAAAAAACAGGCAGGTTAATATCGTTGTCAGGCTGGATAGCATGCACGCAGGCAATCTCATTCTCTCCTCACACACAAGTGCATACACACACAAACACACATAAACCAGCTCAGTGCACACAGCTGCTTGCTCTCTCATTGACATTATTATAATGCAGTCAATATAAGACAGCTATATAAACAGCTATATAAACATATAGTACTGCTGATATTTATGCAAACACATATACAGGAGACTTGGTTTTTCCATCTCTTGTGAAATTCACATGGTCTCAAACATAGATTTGAATGAGTATTTTAAGTCCAATTACATAAATTAGTAAAAACTGCACATTGTTAATGTGCGGTGGACTCAGGTCACTCCTTCAACTGTCTTGAAAACCCTCTGTAACGATCAATTTTTTGTAAAGGCAGACCTGGCATGATAGAGCACAATGTCATGGCAGCAGGAATGTTTTTTCAATTGAAATAACTACTTTGTATTGCACAAAAAGGAAGAAAACTACGTTGCAAAGAATGCACTTTTACTATACATAGAATGTGCCTTGTATCCATCTTGATCATACGGAATGAATTACTCTATAAATGAAAAACTATCATGGAAATTAGGTGAATAGTTTATGTAAAACCTTCAATGAATGGCAATGTAGGTAAAACAAAGTGTGAGTGACACCATGGCTGTCACTCTACAGGGTGAGTTATCAGGACGTACATTCCCCAGAGGATGAAATAGGAGATGTAATGCAGAGCATACAATATGTAGATAAGAGCAAGACGAGGAGGCGGTTCACCTTCTGCATGAGAGAGAGAGAGAGAGAGACTGTGTGTTTATACTGTTTAGTGATGAGGAAGATGTGCAGAGCTGCAGGATGTAACTTGATTCATGGTTGGCAGTGCTGCTGTCGAGTACTGCTGAGAGTGCAGGATATATTTGTGACACCAAGCGGCCAGAAGGACCTCATCCTACTTTCTGCTGTTTCTCTCAGCTGCTCTCAGTTGTCTATAGAAAATAGCAATCATATATATATATATATATATATATATATATATATATATATATATATATTTTTGTAACGTGCTCTGTCTTATGAAGTTAAAAGAGTCTAAAAAAGTATTTTGACATCCATTGTTGATGAAATATCTTATTGTCCTACCGTAACAATGAAGATGATGAGTTAAGAATTGAATATAAGTTTCAAATCCTCACTCCTTGTTTATTTGAGCTACAACAGAACATATTGGGTAAGGTTCCTTTAGAGATTAGGGGCCCCATTAACAAATGCTTGATTGTCCTTTGGCTTCACTTTAAATGCTGCATTAAATCAGAGTACTATAATAACAAGCCTATTCTTTATATAATGAAGACGACAAAGTCTGTTTTCAAGTAAGTACCTACAAAAAGGTATCTTGCAAGTAAATGAGGTGCAGGATCAGGTGTGTATTGGAAATATGGTGGAAGTCTGTGTGTTTATGAAATGTATCCAGACCTGAAGTCACGCTTATTGTTTTATGAGTCAGTTTTCTGTGACACCACACAAACTACAACTAGTTTTTTGTTTGCCATGAATTAGAGAGTGAAATTGTTTGTCAGCCCTCTCTCTTCATGCTGGAAGATAATGAAATGATGGTGAAAGAAAGAGAAAAAAATAAATAGAAGGAATGTGGAAGTGTGAAATATGAAAAATGATTGCCTGACCCCGCTGATTGGAAAAGACACAAATACAGAAAAACAAAGCAGCAAAGCTCACATAAAATACATGTAAAGGAAATATACTAATTTTGTCCATACTCCTAAACACTAATAGACTGGTCAAATGTATATGGAGGACACAAAACACTTACAATATACAACTTAAAACCCACATAAAGACACTCACACTGATACACTCATACAGACATTAAACAATAAGTAGAATTACATATAGGGAAGGACCAATATCAAATTGAGCCTCGTAGAACACTCACAAAGACATTAAAAACATATATTTACATTAAATAAGCCATCAGATGGACACAGTCTACATAGAATCAGTGACATACAAAACAACCACAACATTCATACATGAACAGAACAGACGCAAGTCACAGTTCACAAAAAAAGGTTTGTGGCCTTTTTTACACCCCTTGGGACGGATCACCGAGGAGGAAGAGACAGATTGTAGGTCCATTCTCAGTATGCATGCCATGCACGAACACGTCTGTTGGTCAAGCAGCATTAAGGGCCAATGCAGCGTTTGAGTCGTCATCTCCAACTAGCCAGTGCTACTCCTGCCCCTCATCCCAGTGTCTCCATGCAAACACAGGGGGAGATGAGCGATGATAGTCAGCCTCATGCACATGCAGACAGGCAGGAGGGCAGGGGAAGAAGAGATAGGAAAAAGAGAAAAGAAGAGCAGCAAGAGAGGAAGAGGAATATAAAATAGGGTGATGGTCACAGACAGAAACCGCGAGAGAGAGCGAGGGTCACCTCCCCCCTCCCAGTGGGTGCTGAGTACACAGTCTGTGTGAGGGGTATCGGTCACAGAGCGGACACTTAAAAAGGTGGGGTTTTCAAGAGCACAAAAAAAAAAGAAAATGCACGACTAGTCGCAAAAAAAAAAAGATAAAAGATAAAGATGTGGGTCAGAGGTCAACATGAAGTTGGCATGAGGTCAGAGTTCGGAGAGGAGTGAGAAGGAGGAAGAGTAGGACGGCTAGGCTGCAGATGACATGTCCAGAGAAACACAGAGAGAGGGACAGATTCACAGGGAATGAAAACAGGGCTCCCAAAAGGACATTCAACATTAGCCCTAAAGAGACTCAAAGTACTCCCCATGCAGCCACAGGCAGAGAGAATTTAAATTTCCTCTTAAAAATGTGTAAAACAAGAGGTTCTATCTATAATGATCTAATGTATATATTATCTTTCCTAACCTGGAATTATCTTGAGCAAACTTTCGAAATGTGCTTACCTACAATAGAGGTGCACTACAACTACGAAGGAACACGCATAAGTAAAATCCTACAGTGTTCTGACAAAAAGAGGGGAAGACAGGTCAGGCCAGAGAGAGAGAGAATGAAGACTGCAGTATAACTGATTCCTCTACTCTCTAGCGAATATTCTGCCAGCTTCTTCTATTAAAGACTATTTCAATAATAATGATAATTAGTTTATGGAGGACTGAACCTGAATTAAAGGAGCAGTTCTACATTTGGGGATATACACTAATTTGCTTTTGTTGCAGAGGGTTAGATGAGAAGCAGCTCTCATATTCGTACGGTAAATATGAAGCTACCGCTAGCAGCCATTTAGCTTAGCTTAGCATCAAGACTGAAAACAGCTAGCCTGGCTCCATCCAAAGTTAAAACATTCACATACCAGCACCTCTTAAGTACACAAATTAACACAGTGACTATTTCCATCTCCACTATAGGATTAAAACAGCTAGCCTGGACAGATACAGGCAAGCTGTTTCTGCCTGTTTCCAGTCTTAATGCTAAGCTACGCTAAACAGCTGCTTGCGGTGGCAGTAGCTTCATATTTACCGTACAGACATGACAGTGGTTTTGAATGTCTTCAGCAAGACAGGACATTTGCATATTTCCCAAAATGTCAAACTATTGGTATAATATTGAATGAATAAACTAATCTGTGAAAAAGATTAACTAAGTGAAAAACAAATTTAGTCCTTCGCTGTCTACCACACTATGTATTGATGAAGCCTGATTTTTCGATTCAACTGACCATTTGGTTCATTTACTCGTATTTACTGCCTAAAAAGTCAGTTCTGTTCCACCACTTGGTCACTGTGCCGTTAGGACGTACTTAATCTGGATAGTAAATCATAATCCTTTGGAGACCCGTCGCTGTGATCATTGCGAGATTACCAGAAGACACAATATTCAGGTATTCAAAGTGCCGCCACGTTTTTATGCAGAACGTCAAAGCAGGAACGGCCTTTGGGAGGCAGGTAGCCAGACAGATAGACAGACATGACAGATATATGGTTATCAGATTCACTGCAGCTGTGATCTGAACATCTCCCTTTTCACCCTTTGAGCCTCATGGTCGTATCTCTATGCATTGTTACATCTCTGAGTATTGCTCCAGTTTTCACAGAATAGGACCTGTCACCTGTCAGACTGACTCATCGTCTGCACTGGATACAGAGAGAAGAAGCCAGTCCAGTGAGATGGGGAGCTCACCAGTCCAGAGGTGAAAATGGAGTCAATAAGATGTACGGTATGCATGTGTGAAGGAAACCATGAGGGAAAGGAGTAAAAGACTGAGGACTGACAATTAGTAAGGAAGTCAGTTAAGCTAGGTTATACTTATAGTATGATCTACGTGGACTGATCATGTATGACGATATGTTGTTTTATAGACAAAATATCACTCTAGAATGTAGCCCCTCTAACTTTTTAATGGGCGGAAAACTCTTGATATAGTCAAATACTGACTAATGTAATTATTTGACAAGAGAACACAAAATAACAACAATGACAGCAATAATAACTAATAAAACTATTAATGATAGGATACTTTACTCTATGTGGAGTGTTTTGCTGAAAGGCTTTTCAGTAATGGGATATAAACTATAATTCATCATTCAAATCATACTTTTTTGTATACTTCACTTTACTTCCCACCACATTGAATGAATACATGGAGAAATGTACATATAACCAAAAGCACTACACAGGTTGTAGCACAGTAGGAGTGTCCTGAGTCCCTCTGCATGTTGCCTGGGCAAAGTCCTGCAAAAGTTTGACGTTTGTGGCAGCTTTCATACACAACAGCATCCCGGCGGAATAAACAATAAAGATATGGGAACAACAGAGAGAATTCAGAGGGAAACACTTTGCCTTCAGCAGATTTTAGGGAGTGAGTAGGAATGTTTATTGGAAAGATGGCTCAGGGTCAAGGAAAGAGGGACATGGGGAAGGGGCTGCATTGTGGGATTTGGGGAGGGAACTTACCATTGGTCATACCAGGGGAGGCGTTGTCTCTCTCGTGTCGACGTCTGCTGAAATCGCGGGAGCCTTTTCTGGCAGGCTGAGGCGGCTGGCCCTCCAACATGTTGACTATGTCCATACGGTCAATACTTTTCAGAGCTGCGTACAAGCTCTCCACTGCAGGGAAGACGGGTGAAGGAGAGACACAAGCAGACAAGGAAAAAGAGAAGGAGGGGAAGGGGGTTCCCAGGACAGACAGCAAAACCATTACAACAAAAATCTGACTTTAACTGGGTTAAAGAGACGTAAATAAAGACATGAGGGGATGAGAGAAATTCACAGCAATCTCAGATCTCATATACTCACTCTTGGCCCTCTTGCCCTCGCGGGTGGCCCACAGGTTGAGCAGCGCAGAGCTCTGCTCCAGCAGCGAGTTGGGATTCTCCACACGGATCTTATTGATGTCATCCACGCTGAGCTGAAGCTCGCGCGCCAACTCTGTGTAGAAAAGGAGAAGACGAAGATCACGGAAGTGAAGCAAATATTCACATAATTTCACCTGTTTCATGCTATTATAGTGTGTGCAGTCATGAAATGGCACTCTGCTTCACAGTTGCTCTGTCCAGAAGAGGCAGAACAAACAGCTATGGCTCTTGGCAGGAACACAGGAAATAATTAGTTTCATTGGCTGGTCGCCATGTTAGACCTTAATCAGCAGAGAGCTAGGCAAGCTTGTCAGACATAAGGTAAACATGGATGGTTTACAACAAATAAAAGCAGATTCGGTATATTCTTGTTCACTCACCAGCCCAGCTCAGTCCCAACTGTTCTGCAATCACAGCCATCTTTAGCTCCGTCCTCTCCATAGCATTCATAGATGCTGCACAAACCAGACCAAAACTGATAATTAACATCTGACCCTGTTAAATTGAATGATTATCCCTGCATTGCAACGCTTATTGATTCTGTATATGGAACACAACTGTAGATGAAGTAAAATGATGAAAAAAACTGAATTGCCGTCACACTGTGCCTTATAGTAGTAAATCATCACAAGAAAATAAGCAGGTACAATGATTTACAAGTGGGAGAGGGAGAACCTCATACCCATAGCAGGTTCATTTAGGGCGCTGTATCTTTCTCTTAAAGCCAGCGGGGTCAGAGTTCGCCTCCGGTCTTCACTCCCAATAATCTGCCAGTCACAAGCAAACAACACTTAAGTCTGCCATATCAGGGAAAATGACTATAATTAAATACACTGTATTGTCTTGTAGCTTCGAGAGCTTTACCTTGATACATGGAGGCATGGTGATGTTGAGGTTGCAGAGCACATGTTGGCTGTCCTCATATTTAGTGGACTTGCGCAGGAAAGACAGAAATCCAGTGTGCTCTTTACTGCTGTCTCTCACCTGAGACACACAGACACAAGGAGAGCAATGAAGACACATACATACATATGTAGCGTGGAGACAAAGAACATAAAACTGAAGAAACATCTGTGAGAGAAAGACAAATGGTAATACCTTAACAGAGACAGGAAGTCGGTTATCTCTGAAGGCCTGGAAGCTGAAGCAGCGAGGCTGCTGGGTGGCCTTCCTCACGGGTATCAGATTCCCTGAACACTCCAGGTGAAGTGGCATTCCCTCCATCACCTGCAAGACAAGACACAGGCATTAGCCTGCACTACAGTAGAATTTTACTACATTAGTATGTTGCACTGCCCTCGTCTTTAAACTGACCTCTATGTCTCTGCTGCGAGCCACCTCTGTGAAGTTCTCATGCTGTTCCAGGGTTTTATCCATCTTATCGTCAGTCATGCAGTAGCAGCGCAGGCGGCCCTCACGCTGCTCATTCATCTTTGCAAACACCACAAACTTGGCCATGTAGGGTACAGCTGACAGCTCTCTGTAGAGCAGGTTGGCAAAGGAGACGGCCTCAGCTGTACGTGGACAGTCTGCGAGCCAGAATCTGAGCGGAAACAATGACATGTAATCACAGTATTGAACATAAGTCAAGTCTAGTTGCTTGATAAAATGATGTTAGATGGTAAAGGCTTACATTAAATGTTATGGTACGATGGCGGATATGTACGTGTTGCCAACTGAGCTTACCGTGCTGAAACATTGGTTGTGAAACTGGCAGAGTCTTTAGCATACATAAGCTTGGTGGTGCCAGTAATGTCTTCCCATTGGGCTGGGGCTGTGCCGCCTGGAAATAATACAGAATGAGAAAGGGCAAACTGGTTAATCTGGCTTTAGCAAAGGTCACAAAGAAGAAGTCTCACGGTGACAGTGTTTGTACAATATAAGAACAAATACTTTTTACATCCAACTAAGGCACCGACATCTTTCTTCCTCGCCATGGAAGATACTGCTCCACACACACACACACACACACACTTACTCACCACCCACACAACTCCCAGTCGCGGCATGCAGTACCTATGACAGAGCAAAGCAGACGCAGACTGGTAGTGTCGCCCTCCCCAGAGTCTCTGGGGCTGTCTCTCCAGGACGGGGGCAGGGGCATACACAGGCCAATGGGCCGGTGGAACTTGCGCCGCCGAGGCTCCACAGTGACCACGGGGCTAAAATTTGCCTGGTTACCGAGCAGCTTTGCAACCAGCTCATCTGGAACTGGCTGAGCCTGAGGTTGAAAGTAAATGATGGAGAGAGAGGGTATACATAACACGGACACGGGTGTGATGATGTGGTGGAAAAAAAAGGATAATTAGACAAAAGAAACATATGAACAGGCAATGAAGATACAAAAAAGATTACAGGATAGCAGGTAGAATGAGACAACAGGAGATGGATGATGGGGCATTGGATGAGGAAGAAAGGACAACCGAATAGGGAAAAATTAAAAGTGAAGAGAAAGGGAGAGAGAAGTCCACAGTGAATAAAATAGCTAATGATTTAAATAACACATTTGGAAAGACAATTGCAGCACAAATCGGTAGGACTTAATAACTTTTTTATTGTAAAATGTAACAATGTGTGTTAACATGAAGCTTTTACAATCATCATTACAAAATTGATATCAAAGAAAAAGGCACTGTGGTTTTTCACAAGGCCATTCATGACATTATTACTACAGCAACATTTGAGTTAAATAGATATGTTCCTAAAAATATGTTAATAAAAAATGATATCCTATTTTACTTACATTCAGTTACATTCACTATTTTCATTTTGGAGGTTACGGCATGTGTGGTTAGTTTCCAAGACATATTTAGCTCATCATAAATTCATTCATGCGTCTGAAGGACAGCTGTTGAACCAAAACACGCAGCATAAGGTCCATTCATACTGTATCTACCTTATATTTTGGTTTACTGAAACATATTCTGACATTGGAATTACACTTTTCCATCTGATAATCAAAACTCATAAATTGCTGACCTACATATTCATAAAAGATTTAGAATTAGAATTTCAATTTTGTTAAATATAGAGATTAATGCAATCGCATTCTTGAACTACAATACAATATACAGTATATATTGCAAAACAGATTGTATACAATGAGTATATTTAACCTGTCAAAATAAAATCACATGCAAATGGTGCCTTGAAATCCCAAATCAGCAAATCTGAGAAAATGGTGCATACTTATATAACAAACATTTCCACTGCAAGTAACTATGAAGGAAGAAAGAAAAGTAGCACTGTGGCCAAAATAAATTGTTATCTTTGTATTGTAATCTGCAATTTAACCATCTCAAAAAATCCCACTCTCAAATGATCTGATTTTTATCTTCAGTCCAATGAGACGGTGTCATTAATTCCCTGAATTGATGTTTCATTTCAAAACAGGATGTTGGGGCAGGACATTACACAGTGAGGGCTAAATCATAAGTGGATGCTATAATTGAGCCTGGTGAAGTAAGTTTAAAAAGTTTCTCTTGTCTTTGGTGTGAATGTTTGACAAAACATCAAGACCTGAAAAGTGGAGCTATAAACACACAAAAGGGGGTTAAAAGCTTGAACAAACTTAAGTCGATTAAGTTTAAAAGGTTTAGATGAACACTCCAGTTCATCTAAAAAGAAGATTAGCATATTTCCAGACGTCCATGACACCAAAACCACTGACAGTCTTTCCTGGCTATTCTGCAAGAACAATTCCCATCAAGTAATGTTTGACTTACTGTACTTAAAAACTGTATCTCAAATGAATTCGTAAATATAGTAAATACAGGGCTTTGATATATGCGTGATATAAATACATTAGTGAGAAAGACATCAAGATAAAACAAACAATGACATATTAGCACTAAATGAGCAGTCCACAGTTATATAAAGGCGTCAAGTGCATGCACTAAGTGAAATAAAAAGGTCCTCTAACAATTTGAAAAAGCTAAGTAAACAAACAAAAGACAAATAAATCAGGAAAACTTGACAGTAGTGCTGATATGATCTGGTCATTCCAAGATCAATCAAAGTACATTGAACATGCATTTTTTTCAGGCAACACAGGCATTAACGATTCTGTCTTTCTTCTCCTTCCATCTCCTCATCGTCCCATCTCACCTGCAGCCCCAGGCGGACTCGTTTGGTGACTGCCGTCTCAGGAAACGTGGCCTGGACCAACGGCACCAGTTTACTTGTCAGCGAACCTCCTTCTGGTCCAATCAGGTCGCTCTCTTGCTGGACTCGCGATACAACAGCAAAGTAAAGAGGGAAGTCGGTGGAGATGATGCGACGGATTCGCTTCTTCCCGAGCTCCTCTTGACTTTCCAATTCTGAGGAGATAAGAGGGAGTTAAATTCTCAGGAAGTGATGCCACCCAGTGACGCATTACTATGAATCCCTCCGCTTTTCCTTTTACTGCCCTGTGTAGCATTCAAGCGCTAGGATTGGCCAGGAGTCCATGCTAATTGAGGTACTGGTAACCTGATTTGTTTAGGTCCTGACCAATGGGCTATGCTGACACTAACAACTCAAGGTTAGTGCCTAACCGTAACCAATTATCTCTGCCTCAACCAGCTACACAGGGTGGGTCTTGCCAAGAAAAGCAGTTGGATTCATAATTACGCCCCAAAGAAATGTACGAGTGTCAGCCAGAGATCGAGCATTTAAACTCTTACCCTCATCCATCCCGTTGAGGATTGTTTCTAGCACCTCATCTCCGTAGCGATTGCGATGCTCTTTCCAGACATTGCCATTCTCACTCCTCAGCACCACGAGCTCCCGGTCACCACGACCCAGAGCAGCAAAGTGGGGGATCTCCACTATCACCGGTCTGTCACACAATCACACAAAGAATTATACAAGAACAAATGACAATTACGTACTAAAAATCTTGACTATTTCCAGTTTCAGTTGCTTCCTCACCCCAGGAACTGCATCCCGGCTGGCCCCAGGGAGATGATCCTGCTGGCCAGCCCCTCTCCCTCCACCAGCGGAGGGGGGCTGGTCAGCTTCTGCGGCTTCACCAGGCGGCAGGTGATGCGGGTGGGAGCCGCACAGGTCCGCGGAGGTATGATAACACGCAGACCGTTATGCCTGCTGCCTCGCATTGAGCCGCCTCGAGCATCTACCATGAAACTGACCAGGAACCTGTTAATGGACAAATGTGGTCTTTAGTTGTCAGATCAGATATTAAATCGAGATCCAGTGAAATGAAATGTTTTGCTGACCCTGTGTGTATGGGACTGGCGACTGGGCTGACATTGTCTGACGTCTCAGTCGCTGGGCTGCTGGGGATCAATGAGTCCTCATCATATTCTTTGGGCAGTGGAAGTGGAGTGTGCTGCTACGACAGACAAAAGACAAACTGTTCATGACATTCTCAAAAGAACTCTGTTTAGCATAATGTTTATATATTACTGTCACCATCAACTGTTAAATGGAGATGATATTGAGAGGGCTATGATGACAGCTTATGCTCATGTGCTCATTTTTAAAGTGCTATTTTTATGGTGGATATGTAGAGGGTACATCATTAACCTTCAAAAGGCCTTTGAGGAAGGATTTTCATGTAACAGAAATGGTGGAACTACAATAATTGCAACATTTTAAAGTTTTAATCAAAACCGTGTGTTAAGTCCATGTCCATGATACACAACCCTTCATAGTGATGACTTTGGAAATAGCACTTTGACTTAAAAACTCAACCCTTAACTCAAGGTTCACTTTCTATATTTTTTTCTGAGCTGTCATCTGCATCTCAGACTTCCTCAGCAGATGGAGGCTGCTCAGATGTCTTGGAGATCGTAGAAAACTTGGCAAACTATATTGTGCTGAGGAAGAGTTTGAGGTGTCGTAAACTGTAAAAAAGGTGACTTTGATAAACGTTAGTAAGTGGACCTTGAGCAAAAGGGGCACTCCACCAATTTTTGAGCCCTTGAGTCACTTCAGCTTTGGCTTTGAGAATACAAATTCATAACAGAAACCATGCATCACAAACTGGTCAAGTTCAAAAGATGTAATTATTCCCGTTAAGGAACGTCTAATGAGAGACACTATAAAGTTGCATTGTAGGAAATTAAGGATCCTGTGTTTTTGCAGTTTGGCCTATGCTCGGGACTAACAGTCTTTTCTTTAATATCAGTTTAAGTGCACGCTATTAGAATATGTTTTGACGTAGAACTGAACGTGTAACTTATCTACACTATTGTTACAAAGTGAGTATGAAGAGGGCTGTCTGACAGCAAGATGAAGCTGTGAAAATATTTCAAATATAGCATATACATAAACTGATATTGATTATTTTAGGTGAGCATTTCTTCTAGGTGTCTATAATACGTTCTGATGCTGCAAGTGTCCACAACAGTACATCACGTTGCTCTTATGTCGGTACTCTTGTCAGTTTCTCCAAACTGGGGGAATGCCAACCGCTGTCCAATGTATGTAATACACTGACTACGGATAACCTCTTACAACCTAACTTCAAAACACCCAAACTATCCCTTCAGTATCTTACTCATGCTGCTGTGTAAAGTGACAGTACCTGATCCATCTCGTGTTCTTTCAGGATAACTGTCTCCGGAGAGACTCTGGGGATCCTGGGAATGGCTGGCGAGTAATTCCTGTTGTATGAAAAGAGAAAAACACAAGTTAGATGAAGACATTTCTTTACATCTCCTCCCAAGTTCTCATCCCTGGTGTTTAGTGGGTGTCTATGGTGCATCCCCCTTTATCCATCCACCTATTAGCTTGTGACTACCAGCTTGGCTCTCTGCTATTTCCCTGCCCAGCACCCCTTACGCTGTGCCCAGCCCTCTCTCGTACTCCAGTGATTTCTTGGGGGAGAGGAAATCGTCATCATGGTCTTTCATGTCATCCATCTTCATGTACCTGGCCCCTTCTGTCCCCAGGAGCTCCTCTCCTTCAGAGAACAACATGGCAAAGAGAGCGAACAGACCGTGGTCAGGTTGGTGAAACAGCACAAGAGAAAGAGAGAAAGAAGAGAACAAGATTGTTAACCAGCAGTTAGAAGGGTTAGACGTTAGGAGACGGCTCTGTGATTCAGGCGGTAGACTGGTGAGATGAGGCGATTGTGACGATGATCTGTACATTTATCTTCATCACGCTAATCACTGGCAAAAAATGAAATGCAGCCCCTTGACCAAACACCAGTAACACTTAAAAACCAGGTACGAAGACAGGATCAATACAGCAGGTCACTGTAATCAGCTGAAGTCACAGGCTGCTGAGTCCAACACTTTTCATTAAGAACCACTAAAGCATTACGACATTGAAATAAGAGAGGACACCTTACAGATGTATTAAAAACCCATAAACTCTCAGTTGGATAGCATTATATATGTGCACAGTGCACTTTCTCTGGGGAGAGCATACATCAGCATAATCTCATTCCAAAAATGTCAAGTGAATAAACAGCTTTCAAACTGGAAGATTTAGACATTAACTGTCTCAGAGAGCAATGCACGAGGAGATTTGCTCTAGAATGCAAACGCAGAGACAATCAGAACAGCATCAGCCCACTGCAACACACACGATGATCAAAGTACACGCTGTTCTGCTTTAAAACTACAGTATATCTTCACGTGAGCAGAGGTGGGTTACTTACCCCCCAAAACACGCGGTCATTTTCGAGAATTCACCAGAACAGAGTCTCCCGTGTGTATGAATTTGTGACCACAGCTTGTGTGAGTGGGCGGTCTGTCAGCGGTCCAGAGCCAAAGTGATGTGGTAGCCATTACGCTATGTTTGACTCTGCGAGTGCATTTCTCACAGGTTAATATGAGTCAGCTCGTGTCCTGGATACTTTCTGTCTTGTGTGCCTACATGTGTGCCACGTCATGTAGGCGGAGTGTTACGGGCGAGTGCATCGGATAACCTGCCAAAATCATTTCACCATTTCTAAAATGAGATGTGTCTTTAAGACGGCGTCTCGGCTGCTTTCTATTTTTAGAGCAAAGGTGACAAACTGTCTGTTGAATTATCAGGGGACTAAAAATAACAAGACATAATGTTGGTTGTTAACGTCAGGCATTAAGAGTTAAACCTGCGATACCTGTTTTTTTTTTTAGCAGAAACAAGCTGTGAGCTAAAATATCACTCAAGGAGGATATGTTGAACTTGTTGACTAACAGTGACACAACCACAAGACAGTTATCATTGTCATGTCTCTGTCCTGATGAATGAGCCCTATATTCACTCTGCTTTCAGCTCTTTATTTGGACTTTATCTGAAACAGCTGCCTGTTGCTGCTGAAATGTTATGAGAGCGGTGAGACTGAACCAATAAAAGTAAAGTTGCGGGCTGCAAAACCAAAACAATTAGGTAGAAGCCTCTATGAGCCCCCGTAGAGCTGAAGGCAACTGTGGAGTCAGGTGATAATTCTCTGTGGGTTTATCACTACAAGCGACTCCTTCAGATAGAAATAGTCACACGATCAAACATGTTGAGTATAAACACTCGCAACATATTTCAAACCTCCCGGCTAACAAATACGGGTGACATGGCAGGAAAACAAAAATGATGCGGTACACCGCAATGAAGACAGATTTAAATGCAGACAGAACTGAGGACACACACATTTCAAAGCGATGACAGCGCTACTCAATTATTAACTGCTAACGTTCACAGAAAAGATTTAAAATATTATATTGAAGATGTATTATCCTTGTTTTGATAGAAGGAATAATGGATCCGATACCCATGGGGGTGATATATGTGTAGGCTACGACTGTAACTGCCAACATAACATGGAGGGGAAAAAAAACCTGGGGAGTTAGAGGATGAGAATGTTATTGAAGGGACTCATACAGGTTACGGACATGGGTGCTATGAGTGCATGCCGATGAGAAACCAGAGCCACCATCACAGTGAGCGCCACTACAGAGGGAACGAGAGAGAGCGAGAGAGAGAGAGGCAGAGAGGTAAAGATTGAGAGAGTGAGCTTGAAATGGAGCCACACACTTCAATACAATGAACCTATGAATGCCGCACGAAGAAAGAAAGAGACATTCATACCTAATGTTAGCTGTGCAATTCCTAAAAAAGGGCAAAAGGAATTGGAAAATTTATGTAACGAGTTAAAACATCATAAAATCAGCCTCATAGACAGGAAGTAATGTTTAGATAACATCAGTGTAGTCGATTAAACATCGTTTCCGACTGTTTTATGTGATTAATAACAATTCCATTCTCTACCTTCATCCTCAGACACGTCCAGTATTTCATCCACTGTTTCTGGGAAACTCATGCGATGTTTCTCAGTGGTCGTCTGCACAGAAGGAAGAGGAAAAATCAATTACAGACACAACAGTCCGTTTAAACTTCTTATTTCCTATTACTGCCAAAGTTCGTATCCAGAGGGCAGAGTAGCGTTTCTAAACTTCTCACCATGGACGCCGTCTCCTCAGTGACGAGCTTTAGGACGTCGCTCACAGAGATGTAGCCCAACCTCTTAGCAATGGCCAGAGCTGAAGTACCGTTCTACCAGACAGAGAGGAGCAGTTTGATCAGATCTCCAAACAAAACTTTATCAGTCATTTTGAAGAAGACAAGGCGAGTTCATGCTCACTGTTGTAGTCTCGTTGGGCTGAGCTCCGTGCTTCAGCAACAGTGTCACGATGTCCGTGTGTCCCTGCTGGGCCGCCTGGTGCAGAGGAGTGTAACTAAGCTGGAAGAGGTATTAAATGTATTCTTTCTCATGAAAGTACAAATTACATCTAAGATGCATATAAAAAAAACACATTTTACCAGAATCATTCCTGAACTAGTAAAGCTGGTAGGGCAAGCATCACAACAAGTCAGTACAATGGACAATTGTCATCTGAAACAATTACAATTATTATTTTATCAATTTATACAATAGGTTAATAATTTCAGTCAACAAAAGCAAAAATCCACTGGTTCCAGCTTCTCAAATGCTTCAAGGATAATAAACTTAATATATTCAGACAAAACAAGCAATTTGAACATGTCAGCTCTGGGATCTTGTTATGGAAATGTTTGACTTATTTTTACAGACTTCAATCTAAATCAAGACAACAATCTGCTGATTACTCGGTAATGAAGATAATTCTGAATTGCTGCCCTACATCTAACCATACTCAGTCAAATTTAAACACATTTGTGCATCCATCCATCCATCCATTTTCCTCCGCTTATTCGGGGTCGGGTCGCGGTGGCAGCAGGCCAAGCAGGCTGACCCAGACCTCCCTCTCACCGCAACATGTTCCAGCTCATTCTGGGGGATCCCGAGGTGTTCCCAGGCCAGCTGGGAGATGTAATCCCTCCAGCGTGTTCTGGGTCTTCCCGGGGTCTCTTCCCAGTTGGACGTGCCTGGAAAACCTCCAGTGGGAGGCGTCCAGGAGGCATCCTAATTAGATGCCCAAACCACCTCAGCTGACTCCTTTCGACGCGAAGGAGTAGCGGCTCTACTCCAAGCTCCCTCCTGATGACCGAGCTCCTTACCCTATCTCTAAGGCTGAGCCCGGCCACCCTACGGAGGAAGCTCATTTCGGCCGCTTGTAGCTGCGACCTTGTCCTTTCGGTCACGACCCAGAGTTCGTGACCATAGGTGAGGGTAGGAACGTAGACCGAGTGGTAAATTGAGAGCTTTGCCTTCCGGCTCAGCTCCCTCTTCACCAAGACGGTCCGGTGCAGCGCCTGCTTTACTGCTGCAGCCGCACCGATCCGTCTGTCGATCTCCCGCTCCATCTTACCCTCACTCGTGAACAAGACCCCGAGATACTTGAACTCATTCGCTTAAGGTAGGCACTCCGTCCCCACCTGGAGGGAGCAATCCACCGGTTTCTGGCAGAGCACCATGGCCTCAGATTTGATATATACATTTGTGCATATATCATAATATAAATATAAATACTGCATCTCACTTTAGTCAGCTTAAATGCCCCGACTCCAATAAACCATTGCTAACAGCTTTCACCTCGGAGATCCCTGCAACAATGTGCGTTGAACCGTGTAATGCGCTGCATATTTGTATTTCCCGATGAATGGATCAGAGACAGCAGACACACTGTAACCGTGTGACTCATGCACAGACTAACTGTAGTTTTATCTCAAACCAGAGGGAGGCACTCACCCTTGTTTTGCTGTTGACATCGGCCTGTTGCTGCACAAGGAACTTCACCATCTTGATGTTGCCATAGTGACACGCTACATGGAGAGGCGTGTAACCCATCTGACAGAGAGAGAGGAAAAGTGAAACGTCTTCAGCACAAATCCAGACGCATAACTCTAGTGTCTTAATGACCTTTTAATATAAATACGTTATGTAGATTTTATCCTATTAAGGGTTGAATGGTTCATGAATATTACATTATAAGTAATGAATCAAATCGACGCAGTCGAATCATTCCTTATTTTTATCATCGCATTCAGTCTGCAATTTAGGAATTAACGAGAGAGGATGCAGTTATGTCTTGTGCACGGGATGGGAACAATAACAATAATTTCAATAATAACACCTTGATATGATGATAAATTCCAGTAGAAGAGCCCCACAACCAGTGGTGGAAAATAACTAAGTGCATTTACTCAAGTACTGTACTTAAGTAAGATTTTAAGGTACTTGAACTTTACTTGAGTGGTTCCATTTTTTGCTACTCCAATACAAATACATTATAACATATTATTATGGATAAAGATAAGACTTTATTGAAATGTTTTTATTTTTTTTAAATGAAATTCACAAGCTACTCAGCAGTATATATCAGAGTACTTCTTCTACCACCGGCCACAACAAATGCTGCCACCCATGTAAAGCCTAAACTGCTGTATTGTCAAGATTGTGTCAAAGAGGTGTCAAGCTTTGGTTTGTGGTGCTGTTGTACCGGCCACATTATTTATTCTACACATAAATGAAACCTTACAAACAATTTTCTGCACATACAACTCCATGTCAAAATACTGTTGTAGAGCTTTAAGCCGTTGAGGTCTAAGTGGTCTGAACCCCTCAAAGGTCGAACATGTTTTGATGGTAACGTAACCCTCTGCTGTGATAACATCCGACTATTTATGCTACAGCACTACAACACTATCTGCCATGGCTCAAAGTAGCTGGCATAAGCAGCTTCTACATGGATAAGGCTTTGATAACCACACAACGGTTTGCCATGAGGCTGAAAGGGTCTTACCCGTGTGGCAGCGTATACTGAAGCCCCTTGCTTCACCAAGATATCTGCGATGCCAACATGTCCTTCCTGTCCGACCAGATGGAGTGGGGTTAATCCACTCTGGGGGCAACCAGATTCAGAAGAAAACAGTCAAACACAGAACAAATCAAGCCCAGGTTACATATTATTTTACGATTAAATGGACCAAATAAGCATCCTGCCCCATGTCAGTCATCCTTTAATCATCTATGTGTTTCTTGCCTTGTTTCCAAGGTTGACGTTGGCCTGTTTGGAGATGAGCAGGGAGACCATGTCGGGCCTTCCTTCTTGCGAGGCCAGGTGGAGAGGTGTGACTCCCTGCAGTGACTCAGCATTGGCTGAAGCTCCGTACTGCAGCAGGCTGTTAGCCACCTCCACCTGGTTCTGCTTGGATGCTATGTGGAGGGCGGTGTAGCCATTCTGGAGCACAGACATGAGTTGTGGTTAGACAAATATGTGTATATGCCTGATACTGGGCCATTGAGCATGAATTATGTGTGGACTTGTATGCATCTCTTTTTTTTTTTTTTATTACCCTGGCTGCACTATGCGGAGACCCGCCCTTGCTGACAAGCAAGTTGACAACATCCAGGTTGTTGTGATGTACAGCAACGTGCAGTGGAGTCAGACCATTCTGCAAAAACAGAATCAAAAGTTCCTCAGACTTTGGAAGATCAAACAATTCTTTATCCATCTTTTGAATCCTTCTCCCATACAGCCAAGCCCTTTAAGTTGCTCTTACCTTCCCAGCAGCATTAGGATTGGCTCCTCTCTCCAACAAAAGCTCTGCTACATCCACCTTGCCGTACTTGGAGGCTACATGGAGCGGAGTGAAGCCTTTCTACAGAGGCACCAACGAAGAAGTGGACACAATATTAGGTTGGGTAACATAGTTATTAGTGCTGACAGTTTTAAGGCAGCCAAATGCTTTCAAGGAAGGGTAAGCAGGCGGATTTTACCTTCGTCATCTTGGTCTGCTGAGCCTCCATGTCCAGTAGGATGCGTACGGTTTGTGCGTGACCTTCCCGAGCAGAGATGTGTAGGGGTGTGTGGCCTGCCGTGGTGGTGGAGTTGGGGTTGGCTTTGTGCTCCAGCAGCAGCTTCACTAGCTCCTTGTGGCCCATCCGAGCGGCACAATGCAGAGGTGTTTGGTCATCCTGGCCAATGTGGAGCAAGGAATTATAAAATATAAGGTACTGCATGAAACCTCAGCAGTAGAATGCCTTCTCTAGTCTCTTAATCATCCTGTTTTCGTTTCTCAGCGTCTCCACTTTGATCTCAACTTGTTACATTAACTGTAAAAGGAGGCTGTGGTGCGTAGGAGGGAAATTAGCATGTGAATGCTCTGCCAGGAATTAGTTGCTGAACCAACTTTCTAAATGAATGCTTATTATGTACCAATTTAAGATAATTTAATCATATGAGGAATCTTAATGCATGAGTACACAATATGTGGATTGTGCTGTAGTATGTGAAATCTCTACCTTAGCCTTCGCGTCCACAGGTGCTGCGTTCTTCAGTAAAAACTCTGCCACCTCATAGTGTCCTGCCCGAGACGCCATATGAAGAGGAGTCTCCACTTTCTACTCATGCAGAGAAGGACAAACCGCCCACTCAGATTCATCAGTATTACAACAACAACAACATCATCAATGCAGAGGTGAGTTGGTTATCTGCACTGCTCATCAGATTCCAGAAGGGAACTCACCACATTGGAGGCGCTGGGGGAAGCTCCTTTCTGCAGCAGGATCTTCACAATGTTGAGACGACCCATAAACGATGCCACATGCAAAGGTGTCAGGCCAGACTGTTCAGAAGAGGAGAAGAATATTACAAATGTTCTTGTATTCGATTAATGACTTTTACGCTGCCATCTTGACTAGGACTTGCCCCGTAAAAGAGATTCAAACTCTCAATGGGATTATCCTGTATAAATAAAAGTATATATATATACATCCCATATAACGAGCTGTGAGCTGTTATTGTCAACCCCTCGTTTTAATGCCCTCACCTCAGTCACAGCCTCTATTGATGCAGAGTGTTTAAGCAGGAGATCCATCACACGCATGTGGTTCTTTTTACAAGCAATATGCAAAGGAGTAAAGCCATTCTGTAAAAAAAAAAAAAAAAAAAAAAAAAAAAAAAAAAAGGAATGATTATCATGACTACAAAGATTAAAAGTAACTTTTCCTTGTCTGAATTTATACATTGACTGTGTGCTTGTCACTGACCAATGCCCGAGAGTTGGGTTTGGCCCCTTTGTCCAGCAGTACTTTGGCCATGCGTTGGTGGCCACAGTGTGCTGCCACATGAAGAGGGGTAAGGTGGTCCATTGTGATATCATCTATCTCTGCATTGTACTGCAGCAGTTGCTTGACACAGTCCATGTGGTCCCCCTGTGCTGACATGTGGATTGGAGACAGGCCATTCTGCAAAAAAAGAAACCCAAAAAAACATGTTGACTCTCTCATCCCTTGTAAAACAGGAAGCAACTTGTCTTGTAGTGAAAACAAACAATCGAAGCAAGAGGCAGCAGCAAGAGGGATCTATGGCTGTGTTTGGCCGATAGATCACACACTTTTACTTTTATTTACATGTTTGATTTTAGAGTACAAAACAAATATTAAAAAACAACTCAGTGATTTGAATTCATTACCAAACCAGATGGCGTTCAGTTCATTTCTAAGGAGTGAAGAATTTATTTCTATCCATGTGGATTACCTTGGTCTTTGCCTGGATGGGGGCTCCGTGGTCCAGCAGGATCTCTATAATCCTGACATGACCATTTCTGGCTGCACAGTGCAGAGGAGTCAGCTCATCCTGGAGAGAGGGGAAGGTTAAAGATTTAGTTAATGATGCATCAAATCAGAATCAGGAAAGGAATCAAAGATTCTATGAACCCGCAGGATGGATGTCTACTGCACCTTGGTCTTGGCATCAATCTGAGCCCCTCTGTCCAGCAGGAGTCGGACCATGATCACATTCCCCCGTCTGGCTGCAATGTGCAGTGGAGTGATGCCGTTCTGCAGAGACAAACAGCTGCACTTAGATGGGCACACACAAGGACAACAGAAAGCAAGAACAGAGATTAACCTTCCAACATCAATTATTCCCTACCTTTGGGGTGAAGTTGACATTGGCTCCTCTATTGAGCAGCAGTTGAGCCACATTCAAGTTTTCATAGTGTGCAGCAATGTGGAGGGGTGTGAATCCAGTCTGCAGGGACACGTCAGCGTAAGTACATGTCACTCTCATTACCTTTGCATTTTAGAAACACTAATACTGACACCAAACACAGATGTCCATACCACTTGTGCATGTACTGCATATGTGTGTAATCATATCTGCAGCCATGCAGACACAAACACAAATACAGACACACATATACCTTGCTGAGTACATCAGCGTTGGGGTCATTCTGCAGAAGCACTGCGGCTGTGCGTGTATCGTCGTTGCGTGCTGCAATGTGCAGAGCAGGGAGGCGGACCTTTCCCTTGGTGCCATAGTTGATGAGCAGGGCTACGACATTCTCATGTCCCTGTTGAAGAGCCACGGCGAGAGGAGTGAATCCATCCTGTAGCACACAGAAGACAGTTAGGAGACTGGTTGACTCATGGAGAAAAAATGAGAGAGGTTAAAGAGAGAGGCTTATGAGAACAAAACAGAATGGAAACACGGCGCTGTCTGGATCAGCAAGGATGGGACTGAGTCATTTGGGAGATTACTCTTTGAGAATGACTCTCAGTTCCTGAGTCTTTAGTACCTCAGTTGGAGTGCTCTGATTGGCTCCGTTCTCCAGAAGAAACTTCACAACCTCTAGATGGTTTTCTTGTGCGGCCATGTAGAGTGGAGTGAAACCCTTCTGTCTCAGAAAGACGCACAATAGACACGCGCACACACACACGCGCGTACACACACACAAACACACAGCAGCAGCACAGGAGACACAAGCACAGCAAAAGAAAGACAGGAAGACGGTAACAGTCAGATGCATGGGCATGCATGTACAGAGAGAGGAAACACCAAAATACAGATATATAGGGACAAAGACACTTGTTAACAGATGGAATTGCAATAGTTACTAGAATGGTTTCACAGTAAAGTAAATAAGTACTGCGGTGTAGTCTCAATGCAGTGAGAGCAGCACTGAGTCTCACCTGGGACTGAGCGTTGACATCGGCCCCGTAGTTAACCAGCTCTGTGACCACCTGCTCCTGCCCTGCCAGCGCTGCAATGTGCAGGGCCGTGTTCCCTTTCTGTTTAAACACAGATACATGAGAACAGCACACAGTCATAACGAGCACCAACAAAGATTAGAGGTGAAATGTGCAGATGTTAGGTTTCATATGCAGACAGATGTTTCATGTTGGATTCTGGCGATCTAGATGAAGTGTGCCTTATTTACATGTGTTTAACCCGTCAACTAATAGTATAATTCCACATGTAAAAAAAAATAGAAAGAGACAAGGCAGACAGTTAACTTAGTTTAGCATAAAGACTGGAAAGAGGAGGAAAACAGCTAGCCTTGCTAAATCCAAAGGCATTAAAATCCACCTACAGAAAGCAACACATTATGGTTTAACTGGGCTCACATGCAGGACTATTTCTGAACATGTGCGTGTGAAAACCCTACAAGTGAATTCAAAGGCCAGGGGACTTTTTACACAAGTGATTTCTGAGCATATAAGAAGATGGGACATTTTCACAGTGGGTTTTTACCTTTGTGGTGGTCTCCAGTACGATGCCATTGTGGAGTAGCTCCAGCACCATTTTAACGTGGCCTTCTTTCGAGGCCAGATGCAGCCCGTTGAGTCCATTCTGAGTGAGAAAGCAGAGTAAACCTCATACTGAAGGGTCCTAAACTAACTATAAACATAAATATTTCCTAATCTAAAAGAAATAACCACACATGTAAAACACAAACACATGTAGGCCATGCCAACTGAAACAACTATTGTTGTTTGTTTATCACAGTGACTGACGCATTCACAAACTAAAGCGAGCAAATACTTACACTGGACACCACGCATGCAGTACTCTCAGAATCAAAGTAGTCATTAGCGAAAACAATGTCTACAGGGATGAAAATCAGGATGTGAACATTTTCATTTGATTAATGATGGTGAGAGGAGGAGGAGGAGGTAGAGGAGGAGGACGGGAGGGGGATGGCAGGCCGCTGGTCTCATGGCTGGGAAGAATACGAGCCGTGTGGGATAGGTCTGACCTCACACAGCCTTCCTTCAGCCGCACAGGACATGTGAGGTTGGACCTTTCACACACCACTGATATTATTCCTCTGAGTGGGGAGACCACAGCACACCATCACTCTACTGCAGACAGAGGAGAGAGGGTGGGGAGGGAGGAAGGCAAAAAGCGAGAAAAAAAAGGGAGGAGAGTTAGAAAACAGTGTACAAAACGGAGAAGGAGAGAGGATAGAGGAGAGGTCGTTAGGTTGAGAGGGATAGAAGAGGAGGGAAAACACAAGACGGGGAGAGCAGGAGTGAGGCAGTGTGGTGGTGCGAGGTATCCACTCAGACAAGGAAACACAGCTTCCACAGTCAAGCCTCCACCTGGCCAGACTCCATCAGACTGTACATACAGCATCAGGACCAACAGTCACACAGCCACAACAACGGTGCTCTCACCACCCACCGTGGTTGAAGTGAAAATCTACAACTCTGTATCATTGTATGAACTTTGAAGGTAAATACAGTGACCATCTTTTGCAAAACAGTAGATTTACCTGAGGCCTGTGTAAATAATAAATGGAATACTGTCAGTAAATATAAAAGGCTGTAGCCTTCCGTAGGTGTCTTGATTATTACTACATTGAGCCCGGGCCAACATTAAAGCCACTATGTGTCAAATTTGCAGCCATCCGATGGTAGCTTAAAAGATACCAATTTTCACAAGAAATATTACATTTTTGTACAAACAAAAAAACACTAGACTAATTATAAACATGCTGTAATTACATACAAATGCCACATATAGGGGCTTTAAGTGCAACACTTTAGAGCAATGTATATGCAAAGGTGTCTCCTAATTAAAGTGAAGCAAGAATGTTGTAGATTATCACTTTAACTCAAACACAGTTGACAGTTAACAGTGAAAAATAAAATCACAATTTCATATGACGAATATCACAAAAAATGAAATTGTGTAATCCAGGAGAATTAATCTGGTAGGTCAAAAACATTCTGGTAACAGACTGTAAATCTGCATGCAATTACATTTTTATTCCCTTGGGTTCTCACTTCAACATAGTGAAGGAGTTTGCCAGTAAAAGCCGGTGTACAGTGTCACTTCACATACAATAAATCTGTTGTTATGTGGAGTTTGTTAGGGGCCCTAAAAATAGGCCTCATAGAAATCCTGACAGGAGCATTACCAGCAGTAATTACAAAATGTTCAGGACAGCATAAGTGAATGGAGGGGAAACCATGACTGTGTTAGATTAATGAGCCAGAGACATCTTTCTCACTTAAACACACTATTTTGGCCAAGTTACAGTAGCCTGAGGGCAGCAGTCCTAGAACCGATAACGCTGCCTCTTCCTGGACACTCTGGTAACAACTGTCAGAATAAAGGAGGCAGGATGGAAGAGACAAGGTGAAGGAGAAGCCCCTGCCCTATTTACCACCTTCCCTGGAGACCCTGTAAACTCCACCTGCCACCTTCAGCCCCTGATGAACAGTCTACATGAGCATGCACATACAGTAGTGCACAGGCACATAACAGTGATCAAGTCAGACACATCATGCACACCGGACACATGTATAAAGAAATAATAATACAAGGTATAGTGGTATACATGGACAATATTTGAGAAGAAAATAATACAAACTTTTTATGAATTAAATCCCAAATGAGACTATACATCCGTCATATAACTTGTACTTTCGTGTAAACTGAAGGATAAATCTATAAATACTGCAGGACACAAATAACTGATCATATAATTGGGTAAATGTCATTAGCTGAATTGAACTGCCTATTTTCATTCAAAAACACTGTTCTTTTTTTATGAATGAGAGGTGTGCAGTCCACCCGCCTCCTGAATTTTTATTTAATCCGTTAGAAAGCATTTAGGGAAGACTAAATCCTTGCAGGATGCGACTGTCGTCCATCGCTGGCACACAAATACTTTAACCAATTAAATCTGGGGAATGTGCAGCTTTCTCACCTGATTGGCTGTATTTATATCAATGCCATTTTTGATATGGTCCAGGGCCTTGTCCAGGTTGCCAGAACGGGCCGCTCGGAGAAAACTGTTGCCAGCATCTGCCTGCAAGCGTAACGGAGAGAGGAAAAGGGGGAGGGAGGGGGGGGGGGGGGGAGTAGTAGGGGGTAAGGGGTATAAGAGAAAGAGAGAGACACATAAAGTAGAGGAGTAGAAAGGGGAAATGGAGAGGGAGACAGAGTGGTTAATATTTCATTTAGGGGCATTTGAAGGACTGAAACCACTTAGTGGTGATCCTTCAGTTCTTCTCTCATGTCACTCCGCCCTTGAGATTTTGAACAGTGCAGTTTGACGATCTGCATCTGCACCTTGAAATGTGTGTATTGAGGGTGCAGTGGGCACGCAGGTGAAGTAGTGGAGTACACAAACCACCTGTGCTAAACAAAACGTCTAAAACTGTCATCTGTCATCTGAAAATGCTGACAGCTACTGGAGTGTCTGTTGTGCCCAGCAGACTGTTGGCTCTTTGTCTGGAATGTATGTGTGTGTTAATGAGAGAGAGAGAGAAAGAGACACAAGGTGAAAGGAGAGCAGGGGAGAGAAAGAGAGAGAGGGAGTTTGGCGAGAACCGGCTCACGGGCCGGCACATGGCACGTCTAGTGTTTTTGTCTGTGTTTTGTTTGTGTTTGAGGGCTTCGTGCCCCTCCCAGGCAGGCAGGGGTGCTGCTGAAACAGGATCACTCATGCGGCACAGGGGGAGAGCGAGGGAGAGGAGAAGCGGCCAGCGACTGAGGGAGAACCACAGGGAGAAGCTCGACTGCGGCAAACCCTGCACTTTTTTCCACTTCATTTACATAATCTCCTCTCTCCCCTTGCCCATCCCTGTCCTTCATCACCCCCTCTCTCCATCTAACCAGCTATCTCAACATTGCTGGTCAGGAAAACCTTCAGCCGTCAAACAATTCAATGTATGTTTTAACCCAAATGCAGAGAATAAATTCATGTATAGACCTCACTTTCTGATCCAAAAGAAAACCACCAAATGCTGCCATCACACACACACACACACACACACACACACACACACACACACACACACCAAAGAAATACTTTTGACAAAGATGGAGTGAGTATTAGTAAAAATAAAAATGAGAAAGGACCTACATGCCTGAAGTTGAGGCATAGCAACAAATGACACAACACAACCTCAGCATGACACCAGTGGCACAGCGCTGTGCAAAGAGAGAGTTCACTTTAAAGAAGAAAAGGGCGATCAAGGCAGGGAACAACATTTTGAGCTTCCAGCTGATTGAAGAAGCAAAACAATAACTAACAGTAATTCTGGTCACATCTGGTAGAGAGATGAAATGTTTGAAATGGCAAAGTTTCTACTTATCAGATGAACTTCCTACAGAATGCAGCATCCTGTGTGTAAAGTGATAAATCCTGGGCTTCTGCGAGAGTCCACCGACTCATGCGGAGCCACTCGCCTCGGAGTCATTGTCATTCTCTTCAAAAGATGTTTTTGATTTTAGCTTTTGCTCACAGACAATTGAGAGGCATACTACTCTGCAGTACAGAGTCTGTGAGTCACACTCACACATGCTGACCAACAAAACGCTGATTAGACATTCCCACACACACAAAATAAAAAAGACACACTGTAGAGCAAAACTCTAGAATTAGAAAATCTACCATATGATATTTAGATAATTGCTTCAATATGAAGATGCAGTAAACACTCAACATCAAAGGTTTAAAAGTCTCCAGACTACTGTCTCTAGTTTGGTCTGTTCAGCGTCTCAGGTAACAGTTGCATCTACTCACAATTGCCAAGCCAGCTTGGTAGGCCATGCTCTCCCTCTGCTTACTTTCTTACTGCCATTAGACTCTCATTCACTTTCACTTTGAAGAAAACCCACAAACCTCCTCCCTCTAGACTGCTGCAGAGCAACATACTGACCCCAGTACACCTGCCATCCTGCACACACACACACACACACACACACACGCACACGCACACACACACACCTGTCACTGGAGTTACGATCACCATCCCATAAAAGCACTGTTTTGACAAATGAATCTTTGCGAATGGTTGGACACACATGTGTCTGTGTGAGTGTTTGGGAATCCATTTAGCATTAAAAATAATAATACAAATTACAAGAGTTACACACATTTGTATATAGTGCAGTTTTTATGTCAGGCTATTTGCAATTATGTTATGTTAGAAAAATATTCTGTGAATCTCATTCATCAATGCATAGTAAGTTTCATAACTGATCATTGAAACCTAGAGCTAGTGTACTCTATCTATAGGAAAAAAGAAATTGAGCTCATCATAGGAAGACCATATACTCACACAGCAAGTATACACAATGCAGTGGCGTGCACATTGTTTGCAGACTCTGCCATAGTGACGCAAGAAAAATCCTTTCATCAAAGTAGGAGCAAATACAGCTGATTCAAAGGCACACAATATACATGCTCCCACAGCAAATGGTTGCTTGGTAAAACCATGGTGACCGTGACTGAGGCCCCTCTGCTGGATTCCCCCACCCCCCCAAGACTCAGTTCACTGCCCCCCCAGAAAGAGCCTGCTGAAGTTTACAAGACTACCGTGACTCACACTAGAATCTCCACAGACTTCCTGGTGGTCAGCCCTGCGTGTTTCTGTGTGCATCTGCTTGTGTCAAGAAGTGAGTGTGTGGTGTGGTGAGATAAGGATGCAGGGGAACCACACCCATTCACTAACTCAGACATAAACAGGTACAGTGCACACGCATATACCAGGGAAAAAACACACGCACAAGGAGCAGCCTAAATATGTTCTGTGGTAATTCCACTGCTGCGTCTTGCTGGGCGATTTAGATAAATGTGTCCCTCTGTGATTATTCCCATGGAGAGTGGACAAAAAAGAAGCGAGCACATTAATCATACTGTTTGGAGCAAAAGAAACTAACAATAACCTGCTCAGCAGCTTCCTGGTTAACATTAGCAATATAATCACGCTGTCGTGCATGAAACTGTCCTCAGGTTAAGACAGCGCAAGGTTCAACTCCCCTGTCCCCGTCTTTATCCCAGCCTTTCTGTCCTGTTGCCTTCCTTCCCTTGTCTCTCCCTTTGCTTCTTACATTTCTCTCTCCCCCTCCTCCTCGCTTGCCTCCTCTGCTGGTGCTGCAGCAGACAGAATGACGTCATCACCCCCTCACTGGTGGACTGCAGTGTTCGAAAACTCAATGTATATGTGTGCGTGTGTACGTATGCACGAGGAGGCATGTCTGAGATCAACATCCCGGCCACCAAGATCCTCTGCAGGGGACGACTAGACCTGAAAACTCATCATTTTCACAAGAGATTGATTGTGTGTGTGTTTGTGACAGTTCTGAATGGAATCCGATTGAGTGTGTGTGTGTGTGTGTGTGTGAGAGACGGGATAAGCAAGACAATGTGAGGCATGAATGGGAGAGTAGAAAGACTCTCACGGTCTTAAAACTGTTTGTGTGATGTAATTGCAAAGTTCAGGATTTGAGAACTCGCTGTTAAACTTCTAAATTGGGCTTAAAAATGGCTGTTTGGGATACCATCTCTCCATCTAAAGTAAATCTTTGTGTAAACCGCTTCCCTTCTCTCTCTGAGGTACAGATACTGTAATAATGCACTGGAATCACAGTAGCCTCAGCAACAGAGCATGTGTTTCACTGTTTATCATTATGTCATTATGATTCTAGCAAAGGATGCAGTCTACTGCTATGACCCACCATTCCTAGCACAACAAATGATTGCTTTATATATATCTTGACATACTTCACCACAACTACCATTACTATTTCCTTATAGATCAAGCAGAAATAGGCTCGTCAGAAGTTCTTAACCTTTTTCTTTATTATTACTTGTGACCCCTTATAATGAAGCCATATCTTCTTGTCCCGGTGAGGGCCTAACGCAATCCAGAGACAAACCCTGGAGCTCTTCCACTGACTGTCAAAGAGATACTCTCTCTACGAAAGATCCAGGGTGATTTTACTTTGACATAAAACTATTATCTGCTGAAGAGAATCTCAGCATTTCTATTAAAACACAGACTCAGTGCCTCTCTCTCTCCCACACACACACACACACACACACACACACATATACACCACCAACAACATGAATTTGCAGACACAGCACCAGGTGCAAATCATAAATATTTTAAGTGCCACTAAAGCTATTTATACAGCCAGCAGAAAGGTGAAAATAATGTGCCCATGTATGTTCAGAAGTCCTGCTCCTTCACTTGCAATCATTATAAACTTTAAACAACATAAATTGTGGCAAGCACACCAGACTCTGGATAACGTCTGCTACCCGCCCCCCACGCTTATATCAATATCTTGATGTATTTAAACTAACGGTTTCTATACATAACACTGAACAACGGATATGGAAATTACTGCAGAGTGCTTAAACAGCCATTTCGTCACTCTTTTTCTGCTGACTAGCATTTGTCCTAGAAATTGATTTTTCTCTCTCTGTCCTGTTTTTTTTTTCTCCCAGTCCTCCATCTCTGCCTTCATCTCTCGGGCTGCTTGAAGAGGTTGAGCAGGCAGCCGGCTGTTTACGGCTACAAAGACGTAGTAAGTGAGACCAGTGGGATCGTTCAGCTATGGACACATTTACAGGAAGCAAGCGAGCGGGTCACTGGGATGAAGCTGTTGCATTACCCCACTCAACACTGTCTGTCTGTATGTAAATCTCTCTGTCTGCCTGCTTCTATTCCCTGTATGTGGCAAAGCGTCCTGTTCCATTTTTACTATTTACTTTCTCACACTCTCAGCCTCCCCCTCTCTACATCCCACTGTTTGTCCCTGCCGCACTCATTGATTGTCTCTTTATATCTGGCCCTGCTGCAGCCTCTGCGCCTGTAGATGAGATTGTCATGGTTAGCGTGATCTTTTGTGGCGGGGACAAAGACGATGAAAGCCATAGGGAGGAGATAGGGTCTGGAACCTATGGAGGATAGGATCAAGATATGGTAAACATCCTGTGTCTTACTGCACACAATTACACAAAATATAACTGTCTGGATGAATAGAAAGAAAATATAATATGCCCAGATCATGGACTGATGTGAAATCTATGAGCTTTAAGTCTAGCGCTGCAAAAGTAAACATTAAAATGCACTCTCCATCTTATCTGCATGGTAAATTGGATGAAGCTTCAGCTTTGCGCCTATTAAAATAGCAACAGAAAACCCAGTGAATGCTCAGTGGTGGAGGTAACCAAGTACATTCATTCAAGTACTGCACTTAAACAAGTACTTCAAACTTTTACTGGAGTGTTTCTAATGTATGCTACATCACCCTACATTTGTACTTTTTTTACTTTATGTATTTGACAGCTGTAGTGACTAGAAAAGATTTTAACAAAACATGGAATAAGTTTATAAAATATGTTTTGTAATAGATTAAAATATCCAACAGTATAGGAAAGTAGTAAAAATAGCACCTCATTGACAAGCTACAACATTAAAATGCTATTTACATGTTAAAGCATCCGTAATATTAATCCAATTATAATACATATAGGCCTACAGTATATAACACCCATTCTGCATGATGAGTACTGATACTTTTGATACTTTTAGTGTGATACTTCTGTACTTTTACACACAATGAATTTGAATGCAGGACTTTAACTTGTGACTGTAACTGTATTTTTAAACTGCTGTATCTCTGCTTTAACTAAGGGATGCGATTACGTCCTCCACTACTTCTCACTGTTATTCTCACTTACACAAAGGTTACAAAAGTGAAAAAAAACAACCACTACAGACAGCATTGAACAATTGACTGCAGATCATCTTCAGGCAGATTAAAGCATAAACACAATAGGCACATTTCTACAAGTTGCATCATGTGGTAAACTGTGGTTGATACAAAATTAGCACTCGTACACATCCAGGCAGTAGGGCCTTGTGAGCGTGCGTCATGTGTTGCCATTACCTCCGCTGGCTCAGTAGATTAAACAGTCTATAGTCTTCAGTGAAGCCACACTGAAAGAATCTCATTAATTGACCCACTAATCAGTTTACTGACCTCTAGTTTACTTACCACAGCTAATCCTGGTTGACATCATACAATCTGAACATCAAACAGCGGAACAAATTAAGTCAAAAACAAGATTAGGGAGGAAAAACAGAATACGATACACACCCACACATGTACGCACTTACACTAATCTTGGACGCACACGCATCACAACCCTCAAAGGAACTCCCAGGCAATCAATCTCCCGCCCATGTTGCTTGGGGAGGTCGACTGAGTTTGATCAGAACAGGTTATGTTTGGGGCAGTAAGCAATGACTTGTTATGCGTTTTAACGCTCCATCACTTATAGCTTCGATTACAGCGATCACTGTCTTTTCAAGCAGGATCAATGTTTACATCTCCATGACCTGCATCTCTTTCTGTCTCTCATTCTCCTTTGTCACTATTAGAGCCGAGGGCATATTCAGGACTGAAAACAAGAACAAGCATTGAAAGCGGAGTTGGGGAGAAGCCTCCCAAACAAGTTTGTGCGGAGGGACGAAGAGAACAGGAATGGTACTTAGCAAACACAGAGCAAACACAGAGAGAGGTATGTGCCGAATAAAAAAAAGAGCTTGAACAAAATGGACAAAGAGCATACAGATCAATATTCATGTGTTACAGGCAAAGTGACTATAAAATAAATGGATTGTGAAAATGGGAACAAAGCCAGTTCCAAAAGTATTGTCCCATCACTTTCTGACGTGAAAGGATAACTACAGGCACCACTTGCAGGTGCACTACATCTGTGAAAGTGCAACACAGGATTTTCTAAGAGACGAAAACATTGCAAAAAAAGACAGCGATGCAATAAGAGTTGTAGAGAAGCGTACAGGTGGAAAGCGATAATATGAAGGGACAGAGAGAGTGACGAAGAGAATGAAGTTAGAAGAAGAGGAGGTGGTACTCACTCCAAAAGTGACGGTCTTGACTGGCATGCCTGTTGGCCCTCCACTCACTCTTTCTTACGTTTTCTGTTTCTCTCAAACACACAGCTGTCTTTTCTGTTGCCCCCTGTGAGTGCTGCGATACAGGGCACGCAGACCCCCGTCCAACGTAAACACGAACAGACACACACACACACGTACATACATATGCACACGCCCAGACACACACTTGAGTAAGCATGGTGGGTGGAGAGACTGGGGAGGGTGTGGGTCGAGGGGACGGGGGGGCCCAGGGGTTTATCTCTGGAGGAATGCTGCCTGTATCTAAAGACGCACATTTCACACACAGCCAAAAACAAATGGGTGCCCCACACTCTCACCATGGGTTTCATGACTACATTCTGGCTATTTTTTCCAATTTCACAAGCTTTACTCACTAGCTTTACTTCAAACTCTTTATTTTTTCCCCTCTTCCATCTCCATCACACTCCATGTTCTGCACTCCACCTCATCTATCCTTTCCACCTTTCAGGTTTGGTTGCACCACAAACACTCTGCGTCACCCCAACTTTATCCCTCCATTCTCCTGTCCCTTCTTCTCCACACGTCACGCCCATCTCTGTGTCTCCTGTATGTTTCGTGACAGCCAGACAATCATTTTTTTTCACGGACCAGCCGATACAAGAAACGCGCAGAGTTGCTGTGGAGAATGGGTGCGAGTTCTCAAAGTGGGACTGTTTCAGTCGGTGAGGTGACTTACAGTGACAAAGCGCCTGGTGGGGGGGTTGCTGCCACCGTCCCGTGACAATGGGCCAGACACATGGGGCGGGGGGGGGGGAGCACGGAGGGGCCAGCCTCTCAAAAGGTCCTGCCTCTTTTAATAAAGCGTCTGTCATTCCCTGGTTGAAAAGGCCTCCTTTTCTCTACCTCACCCCTCCTCTCTCCCTCTCCTGGCTAAATGCTGGGAAAAGCACATCGCTGCCAAAAACCATGCAGAGAGATAAATGCTTGTAGGAGAGGGAAAGGAGGGGACAATGTAGAAAAAAGGCTACGCACTTCTCAGCGCCACTGGACCGTGACCTGTGCAAAAACATCACGTGGGATGTCTCTCCTGTCCACAGTATTGAGTTTGGACAGTGATGAGAGCTCCACTGCCAAAGAATGTTGAGCAGGGGACTACGGACAATAATGTCCATGAAGAAATGACAAATTATCCCGTGGTTTTTGACGAAAGGGACTGCTATTCTTACCCTCTGACAGTAACCACCTTTGGCTCAGCCTGCATAGCATAACTTAACTCATCTGAGGAGAAGAAAGATAACTTATCAGGTCCTAATTGATAAGACCTCCTTAAAGTGGCACAACCATTAGCGATGACAGAGGTTTTCTCTGGACGTGTCAAACCTTAATGACTTAAAGTTCAAGTCACCCTCCAATCAAAGTGTGCTTTTGCTTTTTGTTACTTGACTTGGATGTTTGAGCTTCAGCGTGCAGAATGATGTATGTGCAGTTTGACATCAGAAGGCTGTTTTCATATTCATCTGCAGAATGGGGAGAGTGAGCTCCAACGCATGCATGCATGTGTAAGCATGATTTTGTGACTTGGCAACTCGTAGGGCAGCCAGTCGTGGTCCAACATGAGTAGTAGAGTAGGAGTAGATGTTCTTAAGAACACAAAGAACACAAACACCACAAATTATTATTCAAAGCAGAATATTTGTGATATATAATGTCTGGAGGGGATCTTTAATTTGAGAAATTTTGGTCTTTGGGCTCAATGAGGTTGCAGGTCATAATGAAGCATAGGCCACACTCCTTTCCTTGTAACAGGGTTGATTTAAGTTTGGGACAGACGTGCCCTCTGCACCTTGTGTCGAGCCCCTGTTGTTGGCAGGATAATGGGTTACAGCTGTCCACGTGTGCTGCTGGTGGTGGTTTATTGCCCGTGTCCTGATGTCTCAGAGAACAGAAACTAGAGTTGAAAAGGCAGGCGAGAAATTAACATAAATGCTGATACTGTGTCAGCTGTCTTTTTTTGGCGCGTCCAAATATGTGAACTAGGCAATTGCCGAGAGCAGCACTTTTGCAAGAGTGGCGAAATGTGGGACAACTTAAAAAAAAAAAAAAAAAAGCAATGTGAGAATTAGGAAATACTGCCGCATGTCTAAATGAGAGATTATCTTTGTTGAAAAAGAGAAGACTATTGAAGGAACAAGTACATTCGTTTGGGATTCGTTGTTAAGATACCTCGATCTCAGGTGTGTTAGCCAGGTCGACGGCACGCCTTCAAGTGTGGTACCACCTAACCAAGAAATTGCTAAGTTTCACCACTGACATTACCACCGTTGCTGTTCAGCGGAGGTAAAGATAACCGGGAGGGGACATATCATGTGCATTTCACCCTGCTGGACAAGGACCTCTAAAAGAATTGGCTGGAGACAAGCAAGTTCATTTTGGAGAAAGAAAAACACTCCCGGTACAAAATGGTTCTGTATTAGCTATTCTGTTTTCCAAAGAGAACAATGGTCAAAATAAAATATACTGTATGCTTTGACAATATGTGAGATTGTATGCTTTCATTTTGGCATAACGGCCCTCTAGTGGCAGCATGATGCTCTGTAGTATGAGTCTGCAGACACTTCACAGAGGGTATGGGCTGGATCGGGCTGATTACTGCAGCCCTGGCACAAAACTCAACACTTATACATACATAAATGCACACACACACACACACACACACACACACACACACACACACACACATACACACTTTCAACTCCTTATCCTGTGCTTCAGCTCCTCCTCACAAGCTACATTAAGCTTGCCTGGCCTCTGAACTGACAGAGGAGTGGTTTAGCAATAACGGCGGGGGTTAAAACTGTCTTCCCTCTGCAGACAGATTACACATCACACGTCATAGCACATTCACCGGCTCACCCCTATGTATACATATTATCACATACTCAGTACATAAAGACACCTCTACGTTTGCACATGCTCCTCAACGTGACAAAGCAAGACTGACCTGTTGAAGACAAAAACAGGGAGTTAGAAATACTTGGATGAGGGAGGAGAGCAGAAAAGATGAAAGCAACAGAGAAGAATGACAGCCGCAATATGTCAGCACAGAGCCAGGATGCCATTAATCTTTATAAGTGGATGGGTACAGCAGAGAAGGAAATACAGAGTGAAGATGTGCAGGATGAGAGTGAAAGCTGTGGACAGAATCTGTCCCCACAACTCTCCATGTCTCCCTCTCTTTGGTGTATGCAGTATCTGAGCACTCGCAGAGAACACAGACTCCATCATTTAAAAAAACAAGGATGTGAACCATCAGTCATAATCGGGCTAGAGTCAGCATCAGACAGGATCTCAGCAGCCAGACCATAATTCAATCTTTCTGGTTAATAGACGCAGAACTAAAGAGGTCCAAGTTTTCAGACTCTATTGAGACCTAATGTACTGTCCTGAAACTATGAGATACAAACTTCACAAGGACTTTACCTGCTGTCAACATGACTTTGTTAAAGTGGGACTTTATGCAGTTCTATGAACAGTTCAGATGAACAAAAACACCTTTTCGGTGGTTGGTTTTAAAAAGCGGAAAAATATAGATTACAGCTCAAATGTAGATTAGAGCCAGATTTTTGAGGCCAATATTGATTTTTGAATAAACCATTTAAGTAGGTTTGTGAATAGTTGTGGCCGCAACATTTTACTGGTAAAAAATGAACTTGTCAAACATCATAATACCACCAGTAAATGAAAGTTTTAAACAGTAAACAATAGTATCAATAACAAAATATAAACACACTTTATAAAATTCTGGTTTAAAAAATACTTAATTGTTACATTTCAGACGTTTTAAATGAAGAGATTTTCTTCAACACACTGTACAAACTCTACTTAACTATAATAAATACTGAAGCAAGTTAGACCGTTATAGGTGGGAGCATATTTATTGCCTCTCAACAACTCAACGCCGGTGGCTCGTAGCTAACAGTGCTAACAGCTCTTACAGTACAAACTACAGCAAACGTGCTGACAGAGCGGACGGCTCAATGTCATAATTTTGAGACGCAGCCAGGCTCATGAATATATTCCATTCGATAGTATTTTTCTTAACAAATGTTGTGGGTGTCCCTCTGCATTATATTGTTGTGCACTAGATTTTAAATCTGTCTATATGCCAGCCTACAGTCTGTCATTACCATTTATACCGAGACAGTAGCAAACATTTGTTTGGGCTTGCCTCAGTGCAGCGCCAGCCTCATTTCTGACCATAAAGAGCGGAAGCGGTGAGGAAACAGGCCGGGAATGAAAAGATGAAAGAAGAGATTGATGGAAAGAGAGCTCTGGCTCAGTGACAACTGTGCTGATAAATAATGGTGCCTGGGGTGCTTCACTGAACTTGTGCCTCAGTGGATGTTTGTACAGTATCTTCTTGTTGAAAGTATGATGGCATCTTCATCTGCACAGCATTGCTGAGTCAGACCCCGATTTCTCTCTCACCTCCCTCCCCCTATCTCTCTCACACACACACACACACACACACACACACCTTCCATCATCATGCTATCTAGACTGAAGAGGCTCAGTGGCCGTCTGCAGCAAAGACGGACCTGTACGGTCTTCAATGCATAGTCAGCTCTTATACAAATAAATACATTTTTGATGCTCCTTTCCACTCAAATATTTCATATTCGCTGCCTCAGGGGCCAGATGCTGAGCTGCCAAGTGCATCTAAGATTGACGTGTTAATAAATATTAAATATAAGCAATTAAGGAAGATGCTCTCATAAGTCACTGCAAGGGCAGTTAAAAGAGAGATTATAAAACTGAAGTCAATTACTTCACTGCCTCGGTTTGCTTACTTTGATGCTGCCTCACACTTACGGATTCAAACACACACTCAAATGTAGATGCACTCACCACACACACATGTACGCTCATGTCAGCACACGCATTCACCCACAGTGCAGTACATGCAGATGCATAACACACACGCTTACTCCCATTCAACACACATATGCAGCTTACAGCAACCTTCCATATGCAGGCGTACAGTTCAAGCAGCAGTATACTCAAACTGAGCAACATGTGAGGAAGCCAAGTTGTGTTTCGTTTTGTTTTTAAGTAGGTGTGAAAAGCTGGCTGTCAGAGGGAAGTTTTTAGATTATGAGTCAGAGGCTTGAAGAAGAGATGGTATGAAACTCAATGTGAGCCGGGCGGGGCCTGAGGAAGTGATGTACAGTGTTTGGGCTGGTCCTTTTGCATGCCTAATAAGGGTTCAGGTTGAGGTGGGCCTTAAGCATATTTACCACCATAAAAAAATTGAATTCTTACCATACATTGATTACAATGCATACTGATCATTTTGTCCTCGTCTTATACACCCACCGCTCTGCAGCAGAATCATTTTGAATCCCCAACGTCAAATCTCACAGATTTGTTTGAGAAGTTAACTCTGAACTCCTGGTTATGGTTGGCTGCACTCTAATCCAGTATAAGATTTCCAGTTGCCCCACAGTACATGATAATGATAGCATCATAGACCGCTGGTATTGACCAACAAAACACCTTTTCTTTTAGGTTTAATTGTGGCTGCATGAAGATAAAATACTACCATTATGCCACGTCAAAATGTGCTTGAATGCCAGAAGAAACCTGCATACGACCTTTGACACTATAAAGTAAAAGCAGAAAGTCAATGTGTTGCCCCCTATAGGTGTTGCCAACAATCAAATTAAAACATAAAAATGACATAATGTTACACCTACCGGGCCCATAGATATTTACCTTTGCTGTTCTAGTGGTTTGTGTGGGAAAGTAGCCGTACAGGTTTAGATCATAAATGTCGAACAGACACGGTCCGTCTATAAAACACTGAGCAGATCTGTCCTGGCTATAGTTAGCTCAGACAGCTAACCAGGTCTTCATCACTGCTAATGCTGACCAGGTTGACATTTTTGGATGACTTGGAACTCTCCACATTTTACTCCAGCTGTATACACATTTGGCCAATCTCAGCAGAGAATGGGCACGAAAGATTGTCCATCGTGAAGGACTTTTCTACAGCTTTCAGACTTTCCGACCAGCACTTCTTTTGGAGTATACTTCAACCTTTACCATGCGCATTCACCTAAAACACATGCACATGCACGCATGCATGCACATTGATTGTCGCTCAGATTCTCTCCCTCTCTCTTGTTTTGTCACACAGAAACTCAAACCGATGATAACTAAAGTGTCTAAAATCCTAATTTTCGATAGAAAAACAACAACAAATGGTGCTTTTTTAAAAAGTGGGTTAAGTCAAACAATATGAATTGAAGGCAAATAAGTTGAATCAATATTAATAAAATAGATTTGAAGTGTAAAAGTTTAGGAAGGGTCACAGGTGAAAAAAGTAAAAAGTTTTAATCAGATTTTGAAAAGTGAAAAAGTGAAGCTTCCTTGAATCTTTGTGCTAAAGCTTGACAAGATACAATTGAGGCAGAAGTTCAATATATCTTCACATTGCTTTGAAAAAATTAAAATAAGTATTCTCCTGTCCAGTTTGAAATGGTAATATCCATATTTCATGATACAGTGACCTGCGTATAACAAAAGCATCACATTTTTCCTTTTATGTTTATCCTGTTATGGCCCCATTTCCACTCGTACTAGTGTATAACGTCTTGTACGGGGTTGTACAATTTTGCTGGTTTGCAGCTATAGTGTAATAGTGTTCAGTTACAGTTGATAAAGAACATGTTGACAGTTCGAAATGTCCACTTTTAAAGAATAACTTCAAGGAATTTTCAACCCAGTATAGTGAACCAGTTCTGTTGGTGTTTAGAAAGCCATTTAGGTTGTCGTTACTTTGGATGGCTCCATTGAAAGCATACTTTGGAGGCCAGATTATTCCCATGAGGCATCTCACTGTTGCAAAAAGCCAGAAAAGATCAGTTCTTAATGGGTCAGCAAGACGACGAGAATCCTGCTCTCCTGTCTTCCTCCTAAAGTTGGTATCTGGCCAACTGAGACATTATTACACGACTTCTGCAGTTTTGCACAATAGCAGTAAAGCCCGCTCCACCTTTAATCTGAATTATGTGAAGCTTGTATCAACAAGCCTGGGACAAAAATGAGGGTTACAATATTTTAATACGCCATGGCCTTTCACATGTAAATTAAACTCTGCCCCCCTAGCCGAAACAAATTACAGCCAACTGCTGGTGGCTGGACATGAATGGGCTTCCTAATGTAGTCTGCATCTACAGTGGGCTGGGGAGCAGCTGGAGAAGAGAAACTGAGACGGGGGAGAATTTATGTGACAGTGTAGAGTGTGAAAGTCTGCTTTTTTTTCATATGGAGTCTGCCATGCAGCCGCACTGTGACGAATGCGGCTTGGCTCCCCGAGCATCTGTCCCTAAGGATGCACCGAGGGGGTAATTAGAGCTGTGGGATGATAAGGGATATTCTCCAGTCCCACCAACTATTACTGGTGGCAACGGGGACAGGGCCTTTACACAGACCTTTGACATCTCACAATTCTGTCTTAAAGGAGGTGTTGGGGTGGGACAGGGCGTTTAATGAGGCGTTGGATTTTGTTGTAAACTGAATCAGCCCTCGGGGAAAGAGTCGTGGTTTGTGAGACCAGTTTGAGCATTTTATTTCACCGAGCTGCTGACTGCATTATTTTAAATGCTTTTCGACTCAGCAGGCTCCGACAGCTGAGAATAATAAAAAATTATGAACTTTGAAAGAAAACCTTTTTATTTTCCTTGCTTCCGCCATTTTCTATCAGTTATGACTGTTTTTTCCTCCATTAATTGCTGAGATCTTAGAAGGCAGCAACTGCTAAACCTGCTAAAACTAGGTCCAGCAGGGGAACAAACACGAGTGGTCAGACAATCAGGATGTAAACATCTTAATCAGTTTTATTTGAAAATTAAAACAAAGGCTATGTTAAAATAATGAATCAATCTGTCCATTGTAAACACCCATCACAGTTACCATACCAGGCTCCAAGACGGCGCCTTATTCATTTGATCGACAATTGCTCGCCAAGTGCATAAACCAAAGGAAGCTCTCTCTCTTCCTAGACTACATTGACATGCTGTCACGCATATTTAAAAAATAAATAAAAAATAGGAATTGACCTTGGTCGCAATTGGTATTGGTATCCTGTCGGAAAGTTTTACAGACGTCTCTTTTACAATGGTGGTCTATGCTAAAAATGTCTTTTGGACCATAGGGGATATTTTTGTTGCAGTGTTGTTGTTACCCACTGGGGTGAAATAGACAGCTGGACTGACTGGCGTCATCATAAATTGTGCATGGACAGTTTTCCTGTGCAATGGGGGATTAATAGTGGCTTTACTTTAGATAATCAGGTTTAAATATCAGCTAGTTTACACCTCTGTTTGTTGCCATCCTTTACCTATTTTTATTTATTCTGACACATTTTCTGTCTACAATGTGCTCTCATAGATTGAACAGATCGCTGGACCTACACATTACACACATTTAAAAGTTGTTTTACTAATTTAAAAGTTGAAATAAACTGCAGTTTTCCTTTAAGATGCAGGCCTGGGGCAGGGTAGGCACACTGTATCACTCTCTAGTAAACACTAGTTTAGGAAGCAGACACCCTGTTGCAGGGATTTAGATTAAGCTGCTGTTGTTTTCCACTGCTGTGTTGGCTACGGGCCAGTGAGGGGGGCATGGCTCTTCAGGACGATGTATCACTGCGCCACTCTTTTTCTCAGTCTCTGTACTCTGGGACATGCAAGGTGTTCGTATGTTTCACCATACTCCCTCTGTATGCACTGTAACATATATTCCCTTTCCTCACTTCTTGTCATGTTTAATCCACCAGTGAGTCCCACTTGCTTACCAGGTTGGTATTGTCTGGAAACCTGCAGAGCATTAAATTGTCTCAACTGCATTTAGTCTTTACTTCCAACAGGATGCTGTAAATAGTCCTAACTGACAGATAAAGACAAACAAATAGAAATGTCTTCTTTCACTCACTTCATTCACACAAAAGGTGAAAAAAAATTTGAAAGAAAAAAGGGAAAATGCACACGCATTCATGAGCATCACCGAGGGAAAGACAGTACTCCATATTGCTGTGGGTTGGGCCAATGGCCAGGGAAAACTATGCGTTTCCTCCATTCTGTGTTAAATGTGTTCACCCAATGTGTTTCCTTCCTATGTCCAAATGTTTTACTTTGTCAGCTGAAAACACCCTTATTGAGGTTCATTAACAGGTCAAGCCAATAATGCTCCAGAGCGTTTGGGATCAATATGGAGATCATGAGAGTAGGTTTGGGAATTTGACGTGAGAACAAGTGGGGGGGGTAGGATTTGAGGGGAAATCATCATGGGCAAAGGTCGTCTGGAACAAGTTTCCCAGCAGCTGTATTGCACTTAGATGATCTCTCCTCCAGAGAGTTGAAATGGACTCAAGATCATCTAGTAGATCGGTGCAATAAAACCTTTGGCAAACCCGTCCCTGACTGTTTAAAACAGATAAAACCTGAAAAAACACAGGCACAGCACAAGACCAATACACAACAGCCACAATACACAAACACAACACTGACACATCAAAGGAACCGGTAAAGACAGGCACAACGTCTACAGCAGAAACACCACAGTGGACAACACACAAACACAGACCGAAGCACAGACACAACACAGACGGGGACACAGACCGACATTCAAATCAAATACTAATACACAGTCTGAAGCCATGCACAGACGGAAATAAAGCATGCACACAAACACACTGATAAGAATAAAGAGGTCGTCCCCTAAAAACACACACACACACACATATCCCTCACAGACTTCCTCTATTTCCCTCACACTCTCTCTCTCTCTCTCACACACACACACACACACACACACACACACACACACACACACACAC